GCATCTGTACATAAAACAGCATCGTTAATAAGAGGGACAGTGTCTCTTTAGTGACATCATAAATAGAACTTTTTGAACTTAGAGATAAAAATAATTCTAGGCCAGGAATCAAGCTGAATATTTAATGCATCTTTTTATCTGCTTGTAAGGATTGGGTTTTTTTAAATGGTCTTCAGAATAAAGCTTGTATGCAGTGTTGTTGTAGCCGTGTCGGTCCCAGGATATTAGAGAGACAAGGTAGGTGAGGTAATATTTTATTGAACCAACTTCTGTTGGTGAGAGAGACAAGCTTGTGTCCAATAAAAGATATTACCTCACCCACCTTGTGGCGGGGGTGGGTGGGTGGTGGAATTGAGAGCTTGGTATTTGTGCTTTGATTTATCCATTGTTATTCAGGAACACTAGCTACTGCTCACCTGTGTTAACATTTGTATCTGTGCTCTGGAGGCTGGTGTAAGTAGTGAGGAAGGTTGCGTAAATCTCAGGCTTTGCTTTGTCTGTACTTGCTGTGTGCTTGTGGTTGCATTCAGAAGGGCTTCTGTTGCCCTTTCAGTGTGGTTCCTAGGTACGCCTCCTCAAGTGGAGCAATGAGGAAATATGAGGTTTCTCTTGGGAAAATTTGAAAGGACCAAATATGCGGTTAGTGGGTTTTGGCTCTATGTATTCGCCCTCTTTTGTGCCAAACCTTTCCTCCCTGTGGGAACTTCATGCTGATGGCTAAAGAACAGCTGTTTTTCAGCTCCTAAAACTCAGTAAGTTGCTCATGACAAAAAAAAATCATATGAAGGGAGGGGTTCAGGGTTCCCTTAAAAGGGGTCACTTGCAACCAGCACTGTGTTGGAACCTTGTATTTTAGTCTGGTTTTCCCAAAGTTGAGGTTTCACTTGGACTGAGGCCAGAGCAGGGCAGACATGGGGGTTCTCAAACTGGGGGTTGTGACTCCTCAGGGGGGTCGCAAGCTGTCAGCTCTGTGGGGCTGACAGCCCCACGCCCCTGTTAAATTAAATTAAACTGCCTGTTTTTAAGGGGGGGAGGGTCACACTCAGAGGCTCGCTGTGTGAAAGAGGTCACCAGTACAAAAAGTTTGAAAACCACCGCACTAGAACAACGTGCCATGCTGTGCCTCTTTAGCCACACCACCCACGTGCCCAGGCGTCCCACGTGGAAGCTGTTCGGCCACTGCTATGCTGGAGGCTTAATGCAAAGGATCAAGCTTGTCAGACAGGAGGCTGACGTTGCCCAGAAACGACAGCATTGAAATACCTCACTTCTTCAAAGTGCCAACAGCCTGGGAAGCTTTGGGGAACTGGAGCCTGTGCTGTATGTAAGGCAGGTTGCTCTGTTGAACTGCCCTGTAGGGTGGTTTGCTTTGGGTTGACAAGGAGGTGGCTGTTGCTGGGTGACTTGCCGGGCAGAGGTTGTAAGGTGGTGAGCATGACAGAAAACAAAGCAGCGCTAGTGAGTGTGAATCTCCCTCGTTTTTGTTCTTTTTTTTTTTTTTTTTGCACAGAAGGTGATGAGGTGGGTCCGGGGATCACTGATGACACTGAGGATGAGAATTCAGCTAATCAAATTGCTGGCAAAATACCCAACTTCTGTGTACTGCTGCATGGGAGCCTTAAAGTGGAAGGCATGGTGGCCATTGTTCAGTTCGGGTATGGAGGAGCATTTCTCTTTGAAAAGTCCCTTTTGGGGGTGATGCTTTGGGACCAGTCATCTATGAAATACTGCACACCAAGCCGTGAGCCCCAGGTGGCTTGACAAGCATGTTTAGTAGTGTTGTGACTCTGCACTGACGGTGTAAATAATTTGCAAATAATGAAAGCCAGAGCCCCAAGGTAGCGAGGGTGGGAGGTGAATTTTAGGGATGAGGAATGGGCGGTTTTGACCTTAGCAATCTGCTCATTTCTTTAGGCCTGAATGGCATGGAATGCTGTACTCCCAAGCTGATAGTAAGAAGAAATCAAACCTCATGATGTCTCTCTTTGAACCTGGTCCTGAGCCCCTGCCTTGGCTAGGGAAAATGGCACAGCTTGGGCCTATTTCAGGTAGTAACCAAACTGATTTTAAAGTCTCTCGTGCATTTGATGTTTTCTATGTTAATGCCCTTGTCATGTCTTATTCTTAAAAAGCTTTATTTTCTTTCAGATGCTAAAGAAAATCCTTATGGTGAAGATGACAATAAAAGCCCTTTCCCCTTACAGCCCAAAAACAAGCGCAGTTATGCGCAGAATGTCACTGTGTGGATCAAACCAAGCGGCCTCCAGGTAGCAACTCAGTACTTAGCCTTGCTGCTCTTGCACAGTTCAGTATCAATGTTTTGAAAGGGTCGTCTCACTTGGGCAGTAGAAGAAGGGTCTCTATACTTGTCACTTCCATCTAGCGTAATTTTTTTTCTTTAATTCCTATTAAAGCTTCCTGTTTGAAGTGTCATAATTAAAACACATTGGCACATAGTTTGTTGAATGAAAGCTTTGCCTGGCATCTGGTTTAGTGTGTAAACCATTTGTATGGTAGCTTGTATGAGCTGCATAAACAGTGACTGATCACTGAGCCTGCGGGAATGATCAAGTGATTATTTATCAGTATAATTGGGGATTCTTTCTTTCTTGCAGCCTCCCCCAAAAGTTATGGTATTTTTTTTCCCTCCAGACAGATGTACAGAAGATCTTGAGAAATGCAAGAAAACTCCCTGAAAAAACTCAAACATTCTACAAAGTGAGTAACATGTTATGGGTTTGCGTGTAACATGTGACTGTACCGATACAGTTTGATCTATAGAGCGCATTGACTGATGAGGTTAATAATTCTCTGTGTGTTCTATCCAAAGAGCTTGTAGTGCTTTGCAAACGTTAATTCTCAACAGCCCTAGTGAGGGAGGTAGGTACTTGACCTATTGCACAGATTGGTAAAGCTATAGCCTGGAATCCCCTGATCTAAGCTCCTCTCACATGAGAGCATATAGGGTTCAATTGTGGGAGACCTAGGTCTGAGAGTGAGTGACCCTTTGCGATCCCGTGTATCCCAGAGGTGGTGTACACATCTCCATGGGGAAGGGCAGAAATGGTGTGCATTTCAAACACCCCTTGCCAGGTGGACTCTGGAATGAACTGGAGAGCAGCAGGAGACCCAATCTTATCCTGCCTCCCAGGCAGAAATCAAGGGCTGCTTTGGCAGCAGATATTACTAATACTGAGGGATCAAAGGGCATCACAGAAGGAAACGAGAGCACAGGTAGAGAGCAGCCTATACGTGGGTAACAAAGTCAATTATCACTGTGTGCTCCACCTATGATGCAGAGGGCAAGAAATCCAATAAGCCAGATACAGTTAGCTACATTGTACCACTCTAAAACCAGACTATGACCATAATTCTTCCCTCAAGCCTAGCAGTGACACAAACCCCAAGAGACACCCCAACCAGGGTTCTGGTATGTGCACTATAAACACACACAAAGCTGTGGTCCTTGTCCTAAGAGTTTACAATCTAAGAAAATCATGTTCTATAAATTCTGCTGGACAACGTGGCTGAAATAGAGCAGATAACAAAGCGCACCCTTCTGCAAGCTGGAGGGCTATCCACCTGAGGCCCTGGAGCTGGGGGCGAGAGCTGCTGAGGCACACTAGGAGGGTGTTGTGGGAAAGCTAACACCTTAAGGTGCTATATCTGCTGTCTCCAATCTCGCACCAGCACTAGAATTCACTCTTATGCTGATAGCACTTAGGAAGCTTGCTGGAAGGCCCCCTTCCCCCCATCTCTCTCCTGAGTGAACAAATTTGCAATGAATAAAATAACTTTAAATGGGGCTTTTCTCCCTTCCAGGAACTCAACCGTTTACGCAAGGCAGCCTTGGCTTTTGGGTTTTTGGACCTTTTAAAAGGAGTGGCGGATATGCTGGAAAGGGAGTGTACACTGCTGCCTGATACAGCTCATCCCGATGCAGCATTTCAGCTTACACACGCTGCTCAGCAACTCAAAGCAGCAAGTAATGGGACCTCTGAATATGCCGCCTATGACCATAACATCACTCCATTGCAGACAGACTTCTCCAGTAGCAGCACTGAAAGAATATGAGATGCACTTTTTAGAACATTAAGTCTCAAGTGGTCCAAATTTTCCTGTTTCATTTGTTTTCTAGGACTGACTCAAATATTGTTTGAAGAACTTTCTCAGGCAAACAGGGGCTCTAAAACAATCTAGTTTCTAAAGCTGGGATTAATTCGTATAGCTCTTAGTGGATTCAGAGTTTTACCTGGAAATTGTATTTTTAAATGCCTCATGAAAGTCTCACAAGAATAATGGAGGTTATATAGTATGATTATTAAGGTGTGTGAGGAGAGATGAGGAAAATGCTGCCGTATGCAATGGACTGGAGCCAGTGGTTTACAACTGTTCCCTCTGGCCCCCTTTTTTTCTCCCCCGAGAACCAGTCATCAAGTAACCTCACACATAACCCATAACAATTAGATTGGTGCACAAAAGCACTGTGTAAAACTTTTCTCCAGCGAGAGGCAGGTGTTATCTATTAGGGCCTGGCTTTCAAAAATGTCAGCTATGCAATTGCATGCACTTGACTTGCTCAGTCAAAGACTGAGTGTATGCATACTGCATGTGGTTAGATGTATCACTGGCAATTTTTGGGTGCTATCACTAATTGCATTCCTTACTTTAAAGATTTAAGGCCTGCCTTTCAAAATGTAAAGTTACTAAAATTTCAGGTATCTCATTTGCCTCAAGACATTCATATTTGAGAAAGTAACTTACATTCTAGCAAGAGAAAAGTTCACTTTTAAACAAAATTGTAAGGTATCATATTAACCAATAAAGAGTAACTTTTTATGGAAGCTTTCAGTGGTTTTGATTCCAGTTTCAAAAGAACAGATATGCGTGTTCAGCATTACGGAGGCTTAAACCTTGATCATGCCTTTCCATCATGAAGGTCAGGTAACAAATTGCTCTTGTTTGCTTGCATAAGAGGCTGTACAAATAGCAAAATGAAAGACTTTGCTTGTAAATCTTTATTAATAGAAATACACATTCAGCTGCCTTTGGAAGGACAACCAAACTCAGTAGTTGAAGATCCACGGCAAATCACACTAAATAGGGATTGCAGTGCCTGCCCCATACCCTCACCACCATGTATTTCATAAATGTTTAAATGCCCTTTAAAGGAATTAAAAGAATGAATGCGGTGTTAAATTCTCAGTGTCGGCACCAAGATATTCAATCCCTTGATTCACTGTCAAATAGATGTGTATGTAGAAGTGACACAGTATACAAATTATGGTGTAACTACCCTGAGGAAGCTGGCCATGCCCTTTTTTAGCCTTTCATGCAGAAAGGCTCCTTCTAACACTTTTAGGCCAGGTCTACACTACAGACCTATATTGGTATTACGACGTTACTCGGGGGTGAAATCACATCCCTGAGCGACATGCAGTTATACTGACCGGGGTTAGTGTGTAGACAATGCTATGTCTGTGAGAGAGCATCTCCTGTCAACACAGCTACCACCTCTTGTGGAGATGGGCACCCGTTGGCCTAGGTATGACTTCACTTAAGTGCTACAGCAGTGAGCTGTGCTGGAAGACCTGCCCTTCAATAGTGGTGAAAGTTCCTTAGGATGGTGCCTTTTTGCAGAATGCCTTCAGTGGCGGTTGGGACCACTTCTCTGCAAAAACCCCACCTAAATGTTCTAGTGTTAACCTCACAATTACAATCTTTGGGGGAAAAGATATTTCACATCGAAAATACGGCAACATGTTTGATGCGTTAGGGATGGAGAATGAAAAGTACCTACTTTCCTGTATAGTGGGTGTTTTTGTTGGTTTTTTCCTGGTGTTATGCTTTCGTAAAACAAAACCATACAATCAGCGGGATGGCAATAAATTGATCTTAAAGTTTAGTGATTGCTCTGGAATTAACTTGCACAAGGATTACAGTGGGTGCTGGGGGAAAGACGACTAGACTCAGCTGGGTCAACAGTGCAACTAGCTGCTCTGTAGTCAAGGTTACAATTAAGTTTATTTAAATCACACTTTAGTTAATTTCAGGGAAGATGCAAAAGGTCAGAGGGGGCTAAGACCTGGCAGATCAGGTTGGGAGCACGGGTCATTTTAATCATGGTACCCTTTATTCAGAACGGCTCCTTTTTAACCAATGGGGGTTTCTTTGTTGTAAAAGTAATTTTAATTGTTTAAAATTCACCTAAGGCATAAACCTGAAACATATCAGTTGCCTCCCATTTGCTGACACCGGCACCCAATACCAAAACGGTCCCTCACTTATTAGGCCCCCAACACTGCACCCCAAAAGCAAATTGCCAGCCTGGCTTGCAGACTCCTTAGCTGCAGTCCTCTGCATTCAGGGAATATGGAAGGAATAGGAAAACAGGTGCTTGCTGCCTTCTCAACAGGGTTTGAACCAAGCACTTACACCACCATTCCCAAAACAGAGAGGACAAGGGGCTGGCCTCCCTATAGTAGCAGAAGGAACGTTATGGGATCATCTCAAGGGAGGCCTGCTTTACCTCTGCATTTCCTGGTGTAATTCTAATTTTTGTGTGCTACTGGGGGGAAGAATGGCAGGGAATGGAAGCTCAACCCTACACAGCCTGGTTTTCTAGTGTCTGAGTTTGGACATTTAAATTCTCACCATCTGAAAGGGCAGAGTTAGTGACCACAAGGCCATGGGAAGTAGCAGCTATGTCAACTGGTGAGGGAAATTTGAAGGAGTGGGTAGCTCCCTCTAATGACTGGCTAGGACATACGTAGCCAGACAGAGGCTGTGGGATACCACTACGTGTTTCTATTCCATGCGGGAGAGAGATTAAGCCTTCCTATTGTACATACGTTAAGAACAAGCTGGTGGTGTCCAATGCTGACACTAGTTGCTCCCAGGTTTAAATGTATCAGCAAAAGCCTGCTGAAGAAAAGCAGACCTAGCACTGACCATTAATAAATATATTTTCCATGCTGCTCTTGGTCTCTGTTCCTCAGGCCATTCCTAGTCAGTTTCACATAGCATGGAGTGGATGGTCTGAAATATTATACCCCAGCATCACAAGCCCTATCTGCATTCAATATCTGAAAGAGAGCAAATATCCAAGTAAGAATAACTATTATATTCCCAGTTAGAACCGCTCATGTTTCTGCGAAGAATAGGATTTCTTTTTATAATACGCAAAAAGAAAAGGAGGACTTGTGGCACCTTAAGAGACTAACAAATTTATTTGACCATAAGCTTTTGCTTTTGTAAGCTACAGCTCACTTCATCAGATGCATTCAGTGTGAGCTGTAGCTCACGAAAGCTTATGCTCAAATAAATTGGTTAGTCTCTAAGGTGCTACAAGTCCTCCTTTTTGCGAATACAGACTAACACGGCTGCTACTCTGAAACCTTTTATAATATGGTAATTGATAGGAAACATGTTTAACTATTGCCATTGTTCAACATTAAGTGCCATGCATGTATGACTGAAGAGGAACTCAATACAGTGTATGGGAATGCTATCTGAAGACTCACTATGAAATCTAACATGAGCATTTAGCTGTAGAAAATCCTTTCCATTATAATAATAGATAAAATTGTAAGACTCCGAGGCTCCTGTCATTGATTTAAGTCAGGGAAGCATTGTAGTCCCTGCTTTACTTCATCTTTCTCTTTTTTGATCCAAGGTGCTGCCTCCTTTGCTTGTAGAGGTGACGCAAGTTTATAAACAAACCTGAAAAGAGAAATAATGGTTGAGGCAGAGCTGAAAATCTGCAGATTCCTTATGCCGAATGACTGCACTGAGTTAAAAATGATTTCGGATTTTCTTCTCACGTATGTACATAAAAGCTAACAACAAATGAGTCCTTGCTGGGGTAGGGTTGAGACTGCAACAACCCACACTGTTTGTTATTGTAGGGGTTCTTAGGAGTTCTGGTTGTCACCCTTTAGGGGTAGCGGTATTGAAGATAGAGGGAGGGGGAAATAATTGTAGAACCTTGTGATAGCTTGCGAGAAAAAGTGTCACAAACCTAAGCAGCCCACATCAGACTAAACCACAGAAACAGGGTTGGTGTCATTTAAGTCTTTTTTCATCAGATGGAATGAAGTTTGGAGTTCAAAATTTTCATTTAAAAATCATGGGCTGGATTCTGTATTCCTCTGACTTCAATGAGACTTTTGGATCCCCAGAGATGTAGGCTCAACCTGCCGACAGTACGCTTTTATCATTGGTCCACTAATGATAGAGAACAAACAATTGTAGCTGATCAGTTAAACGTTAAACTACTGTTTAAAAAAAAAAACCCTCCTATGAAGCTCTTCAGGGAACTGCTTCTTCATATTCCACTAGTATCAGTGTATTTTGGTTGACATCTGTATAGTTTTGAAGTACACAAAGAATCCAGCAAAATCCTGTAGAAGTCCACACTTTTACCCAATGATACTGATATAATAATTGTAATATTTTGGCCTCTGGTGTATCTGCATGTGCTTCAAGGTGATCTGTTATTGAGGTCTCCTTTCTGGGTTAACCTGTGCTATTCACTGCAACTATGAAGACAGGTTAAGCTCAAATTGGTATAACAATGACCAATCAGATATGCTAATTTAAAGTTGCAATCTGTTACTCCTTTTTTGTACATAAATGACTTTTGGTATTTCAACAGGAGAGAAATACAATGAAACAACAACAAAAACTTACCTAAAAATAACATGATAAGGTAGATTTGAAGAAAGAATGAAAATTTGATTGTGATGCTCATCGGATATGGCAGTGTGAAACTAAACTTCCCTGTTCCACTGAAGAATGGAATGGCCTGAATCAGACACACAGCTGAAAGCAGAAGGCCAAGAAGATTATAGGCAAAATACAAAGGACAAGGTAAACTCTAGAGCTGGTCAAAAAACGAAGCTTCTCAAAGTTGTTCTCTTTTAATGGTAAAATATTTTGATACTTTCTGACAAACTCTTGTAATCTAGAAAGACTTCAGCATAAACTAGTTTTAAGTGGTATCTTTAAACACAGCTGCACCTAAGTCATGATATTTTCCTAGGTTTGTCTGTCTGTCTGTCTGTCGGCATTGGTGGGCAATACTATGAATCCACCCACAGCAACAAGATATTAGCCTTGCTAGCTAGGTTCAGTGCATTCTGCTGTTTCTCACTGTTTCTTTAGAAACTTAAGTTGGTACAAATTTCTATTGCAGTGAAACAGAAGTTAAACAAACACACACCATTCATCTCCACATAAGACGATGTGTAGCAAGAGAATTCGAGCCTTGCTGTCTCCCCAAAGTAATTGTTTTCAAATTGGCCCTAAAAACACAGGAAGGGACACAGCCCATGTTTCATGCTTCCCACCTGCCTCTATAGCTGGCCATGCTCCTCTCACGAGAACATTATACTTCGGGCTCTACGGGAGTAGGAGCTGCAGCCTGGAGACTACTTCCACTCTATGGCTTTTACCCCCTGGTGCTGCAACCACTGGTAGCACAGTCACAGAGCCAGTGGGTGGAGGAGCTCCAGGAAGAGTGGCACCCTGTGAGTGTCCCAAGATCCAGGGTCTTGGAGTCAAGATTGCTCATGGGTCCTCTGTGCAATTTAAGATTTAGGCCCGTGTGAGACCATTACGCCCTCCCCGTCCAGGGGAGAAGGAGCCAGACTCCCCGAGTGACAAAGTGCACAGACACAGCTCTCCTTCCCTGCTGCAGGAGGAGAGGATAGGGACCATACAGCGTATTCACACACGCACAAAGTGAAAAACAGCTTCTCCCAAATCTCACTACGAAGAAGAGCAACAACCCAAACTGGCCAAAAAAAAAGTACACAAATTGTGCATCCATTTTCCTGTTCAACTGTGTGTGGGGTGATTTGCTTGTGCCCATGCCTCACGTCTTGTTCTCCTGCTCTTCCTGTTTATTAGGAGATCCGTGCTTCCTACCTCACTTTAAGTAGACTCTCTCTTTTGCGAAGGGAGAAACCCTGACCGGGGACCATTCTCCTCTCTTCGCCCTTAGCCTAGAAGGATTATTTCAAGCGCAGACCACTAGCATCGACTCTTGCTCCAGCTGCTCCTATCACTTTGTAACTAGTTTTTTAGCAGCTATGGCCATGTAACTTTTCCCAAAGCTTCTAGCAATGCGTTCATTTGTATCAGCTGGGAGGAGCTGTGGCTCACACCAGTATAACTCCACGATGCACCTCTTGGCGGACAGGAGCGCTAGACTGCCAGCCTGGCAATCCGAACATTTCTTCTTGAGGTGTTATGGGTGATAGTAGGATGGATGAAGGAAGTGACAGAGCTGGAGGCGGAAGTCCTCTACGTATCCAAAGGGCGAAGTAAAGCAAAGCCAATGATAGTGCAAGCTTCCCTGGTGCAGACGTGCCTCACGTCTGCACCTCTACAGGTCTGAGGTAAGTTCAGTTTCTGCACCAATCCAACCATAGGTCTCTCTGACACTCCCAGCAAGGCCGCCAATTATCACGACCCCTTTTGTTCTGCAAACAGTGGGAACGGGGGCTGGTGTTACCCTTAGCTTTTACCCTTCAGACGTGACCAAGGCACAGTACAGTGCATTAGACTCAACGAGAGAGGCTGGGTGAACATTTTCGGTTGACTAACAAATTTGCCAAAAATGCAATTGTGAGGCAACTCAAACTATTAAAATTCAGGTCGAATTCAGCAAATGGTTTGGGTGAAATAACAAATGGGGGGGGGGGGACGTAGAAGTCAAAACAAACCTATTCAGCGTTTTATTTTGAAACTAACCATCAAAAGGTTGCTTCAAAACTAGCAGTTTTGTTTTGAAACTTTGTGTTTGATCACAATGAAATTATTTTGGTTTTGTCAAAAAAAAAAAAAATTTTGGTTCAAAATAAACTAATTTTTTTTCAGGTTTTTTCAATCCCACCATCAAACCAAAATATAAATTACTCTCTCATCTCTATACAGAGCAGCATGATCTACAAGGCTGTGTTTTTGAAGCATACCTTCTGCCAAGGTGCCTAAAGGATAGAGAGGAATCCAGATGGTATATCGGATCCAAGTTAGTAATTTCCATTCTATATCAATGCAGGAAAGCATGTAGAATGGATACCTAGAGTAAAATTCAGTTTGAAAGACAGACATTACTTAGAAGTTTAACTTTCCACTTAAGTTACAATATTGTGCATAATCACTGTATGTCATCAATGTCAAATATTCATGATAAACACGATCAATCCCTTTAGTTATTGTCTTAATTGTAAATAATGATTAAGAATATTGAAAAGGGACTGTTTCATAGGGAGCTGCGGCAGATATGTTTTTCCTCTGGCAGTTTACTGTACTAGACCTATTATCCTGGCAACCTGGATAGGTTTAACTGCCTGCTTTCTTCAACAAATATTTCAATTTAGATCCCAAAAAATGAATAGAATACAATGTAGTTTGTCTGACAAACACCAGAAATTCCCAGAATCCATCACATTCTTTAGCCAAAGGCCTGAATTTCCTGTGGAAAGTGACATGAAAATCAGATTTCCTTGCCAAGGGTTAGGAAATGGGTAGAGGAACATAGCAGCAAGTTTTCCCAGACATGGAGCAACATGCGCTCTCGTTTCTCACATTGGAATCAGTCCCAGACTCCGCCAGATACAGGAAACTAGCAAGACACTTATGCTGTGACAAATCTGAGTCCCAAGGAATGCTTTATCAGCAGGGGCTATAATGCGAATGCCACCGGGTGTTTCTTAATGGCAAAATCAAAATTATTTTAAAGCAAAAGGCTGTTTTTCAGTGGAACCCTGGCGTTCCATGCACGTCAAAGGAAAATCCTACAAACCTGAATAACTCAGTAATACTCCAGCAGTAAAATACAAAGAACACCACCGCTTTGCTTTGCATTTCCTCCACATTTCCGAGGACAATAAACAAGACAAAATTTCTTCCAAGTACCTGTTTAACAAAACACCAACATATACACATGAGTATACTCAACAGATACCAATGTGGCACAGTCAGAGGGCAACAGTGAGCCCCTACCACTAGAAATACACAGACTCCTTAAGAGCCCATGGCACACGCAGCTCAGGGCCCGGGCACATTAGTGGTGCTGGAAGACCAGGGCATGTGTCTCTGGAGCGGAGCTGTGGGCTGGGGAAGTGCTTCCTAAGCCTGCAGTCCTTGTACATACTGACCAGCTGTATTAGGGGCCAACCCAGGAGCAGAGAGAGAAGGTGGCCACGCCTTTGCAGCACAGTGTGTCTGCTGTGGGAAGTTGAGCTGGTCCAAGTGCATGAGGTCCCCCCTCCCCCCGCTGTTCTGGTCTTTGCCCCAACTCCTTGTCTCATCAGACAACCCAAGAAGGTAGCCTACCAACCCAGGCTAGGAAGCATGGATTCCTACCTACGGGGCAATATATATCCCTGGGGTATCTCCACAGTGATGCCATTTCCTCCTCCCCTTCCCCGCCCCCTGCTTTTTTTTTTAAAAGCAGTAATGGCTAAGACTATCACAATATAAACTGTAATAACCTGGGGTGCGAGGAATCTTAAAATATTACCTGGAGAAAAGAAGGTATAAATGGTGACCTGACGATTCCTACTAGTGAATTCAGGATCTCTATAAATGCGAGCGTCTGACAGAAGTACATCATGTCAGCAATGGTGTGAAATGTATCGTAGAAGGAATCTATCAAACAAAAGACCGCTTTAAGGCATCTGAATTTGCCTGCCAGGAGAAGCCAGCTTAACTACACAGCCCCCAACATATGCTAACTCATTCAAATATTTTAGAACTATATTTGTGTTGGAAAAATTTAGTGTTCAACCTTGTGTGTAAAGCCTATATGCAGGCTAGTGTGCAGTCAGAGTAAAAATCTTAAAAACGTTACCCGATCAAAGTAAAAGTCCTATGCTGAAAGAATCACAGAATCATAGGGTTAGAAGGGACGCAAGGGTCATCTAGTCTAACCCCCAATGCAAGTACAATTAGAGCTATTTCAGTAAATAATATGGAAAAGAAAGAGGGCTGTGCTCTGGATTAACAGAATGGACAATTGGATCTTTTAGAAAAACAACATTTGAGCCAACCCATTTTTAGTAATACTGGCTCTCTAAATGGAAGAAACGTCTGTCTCGAGTACGAGGCAGTGTCATTGTAGCCATGTCCGTTCCAGGATAGTAGAGAGACAAGGTGGGTGAGATCATATATTTTACTGGACCACCTTCTGCTGATGACAGAGACAAGCTTTCAAGCCACACAGAGCTTGTCTCGCACCAACAGAAGGCGGTCCAATAAAAGTCTCAAGTGAGATTTTTCATTCCCCCCCACCCCACAACACAGTTTCTTTTTTAAAATTAAAATTTAGCATGTATAGATTACAGCAAATATTACTGATGCCCATAAATCACAGGCTCTGCGACTATTTACAGGTCCTGTCCTTAATGTTATGACAATTTTTGGGAGGGTTTTGTTGTGCATTTCAATGAAGTATTTACAGTTTCATGTGGCTTAATTTAGATGTCATTGTTTAGAAATTACTGCAAAGGGTGAAAGGAGGAATAAAATAAAATAGGATAAAATAGTGCTTATTACTTGCCTTTTCCTAAGATAAACAGGCGAACTGTCATATTCACAAAAATCCAGGAGAACCCCAAAAACTGCACAAGATTATACATGAACAAATATCCTCTCTTCAGCTGTCTGAAAGCTATAATCAACGTTAAACAATCATGTTAGCAAAATGCAACAGCATTCCTATATTTTGCAACTGGCTCTCAGCGGCGAGGTGGGTTAGTGAGTTAGCCTTTCAAATCTGAAGATGGGTTACAAAAGAAAACAAGGTTTCACGCTATTCTGGATAACACAGGACTACCAAAGATTTGCCGTGTGGACTCAAGGGAAACGCAGCACTGGAGTAACAGGACTGCTGCACCTATCTCAGCTTGGGCTGGGCTTTCACATCACCTGCTGGCACGATTGATGACAAAAATGATCAAATCCTCTAGGAACCAGTAGTGCGGTTTTACTCAGCTTGTAAGTAGTTATATACATAATAAAGTGCTGTATACTAGTTTTACAGAGAGACAACAAGTCTATCAACACTACCATGACCACATCGGAAGTACTTAAGTGCATGCTTACAGAGGTAATATTTTGCCTGTGTGTGCATAAGCAAGCCATTGCCACTATCTTATCCACCAAATCAACCTTACTAATTTAAAGATACAGTCACTTACAGTCTTTAGGGACTCTGGATTCAATTCTGATTTTGTTAATCCTTTCTTCTTCTTCCTAAAAATTAGGGATAAAGTTGTAAATGGTTTTAGTGTCGTATTTCTATATAGTAATTAGCAGCTAATATTTAGTTAACTGTTCTGCTGCAAAGCTAGTGGGGTTTTAGAGTCAGCTAATATCCACTTACGAGTCTAATGTGTTAAATTTTTCACCTAGGCAAAACTGTGCAAATTCTTCATTGTCAGGAAAGAGTGTTACTGCAATAGCTAATGGTTGTCTAGCCAGCTATGTAACCTCCGTTACACATTTTCATCTAATGAATACGTTTTGTGGTGTGAAATTAATTCTTGATCATTACCACCACTCAAAACTGTTCCTTTTCTTATGAGAGTGTGAAGTCATCCTCTGGCTCTCTTCAGACCATTTAACACACACCCCAATTGTTAACTCCTGGGAAGAAGTAAAGTCACTCTGGATTGCTGTATAAATCAAAACAGCCCTTTGCAATATCCTGTATAACTTACGTGGTCATTAGGATGTAAGAAATAGACTTGTCCTTCTGACCATGGGGCAGAGTGTGTTGTAGAACTGACCCCACTCACACTTTTGTATGGATGTTTGTGTCCTTTCCAAGAGGCATTATTATTTCTTTGCTAACCATTCTGAATGCAGTAGAGAGCATTTGAATTACCACGTAGCTGAATGTAAAGACAGGGCCAGCCTGGTGGCTCAGGAGGCTGCTTTCTGGACACTCTACCTAGAAATCCTCATTTTAGAAACAACCTCGGGACTTCTGCTTTTCACACAAGCAAGGCTGGAGTGTTTTAGAAAGGGAGTCTCTCTTGGTCTTTAACTGAAGGAAACAGCACACACTATCTAGGGGATATAACCTGTCAAGTTCAGAGCCAGATCCATTTGGGAGCATTCTGATTGGGGGCCAACTCTAAAAGCAATATAAGTAAAAGATGAGCATGTGCTTGAGACGGTCTCGTTTAAGGAGAACAGAGGACATGCTGTCTCTCATGGCTAGGCACCTCAACTTCTGGAGTCCTTGGTTTGCAGGTAGGCAAGATAGCTTGAGCCCTCTGCCAACATCAGATATCCCATGGATTTCAGCTTATTTAGACTGCGAGCTCTTCAGGGCAAGGACCATCCATATATGTTTATATAAAAGAAAAGGAGTACTTGTGGCACCTTAGAGACTAACCAATTTATTTGAGCATGAGCTTTCGTGAGCTACAGCTCACTTCATCGGATGCATACCGTGGAAACTGCAGCAGACTTTATATACACACAGAGAATATGAAACAATACCTCCTCCCACCCCACTGTCCTGCTGGTAATAGCTTATCTAAAGTGATCATCAGGTTGGGCCATTTCCAGCACAAATCCAGGTTTTCTCACCCTCCACCCCCCCACACAAATTCACTCTCCTGCTGGTGATAGCCCATCCAAAGTGACAACTCTCTACACAATGTGCATGATAATCAAGTTGGGCCATTTCCTGCACAAATCCAGGTTCTCTCACCCCCTCACCCCCCTCCCAAAAAACACACACACAAACTCACTATCCTGCTGGTAATAGCTCATCCAAAGTGACCACTCTCCCTACAATGTGCATGATAATCAAGGTGGGCCATTTCCAGCACAAATCCAGGTTTTCTCACCCCCCCCCCACCCCCATACACACACAAACTCACTCTCCTGCTGGTAATTGCTCATCCAAACTGACCACTCTCCAAGTTTAAATCCAAGTTAATCCAGAACATCTGGGGGGGGGGGGGTAGGAAAAAACAAGGGGAAATAGGCTATCTTGCATAATGACTTAGCCACTCCCAGTCTCTATTTAAGCCTAAATTAATGGTATTCAATTTGCAAATGAATTCCAATTCAGCAGTTTCTCGCTGGAGTCTGGATTTTTATATAGTGTCTAGCACAGGGGTTCTGAAACTGGGGGTCGGGACCCCTCAGGGGGTCACAAGGTTATTATATGGAGCGTTGCGAGCTGTCAGCCTGCACCCCAAACCCTGCTTTGCATCCAGCATTTATAATGGTGTTAAATATATTAAGAAGTGCTTTTAATGTATAAGGGGGGGGGGGGGTCGCACTCAGAGGCTTGCTATGTGAAAGGGGTCACTAGTACAAAAGTCTGAGAACCACTGGTCTAGCACAATGGCACCCCGATCCAGACTGGGGCCTCTGTGTATAATAATTTATGGATAATGCTCATTTTAAACCAAACACCTCACCTAATAGGGCCTCCCCCTTTTAGTTTCAGGTTTTTATACTGAATCCATTTATTATTGTTTAATTTGGATCTTGCAACCAGCACACTAGTCAGAAACTCCCAACTATAAATCTGTTAACTCAATGGCAAGAATCTAGGTATTTCTTAGGACATGCACTCTTAGCTGCTTATTTAAACTGCTCCGAAAGCACATGGAGTACTGACCTTTGCTTTGAGTTCCATTTCAGCATCCGACTCATCTAGCCAGCGATCAAAATCAGGGGCTAGGAACATCGGGCGCCTCTCCTGTTTGGTGAGTCTTTTCCACCAGTTGCTTTCTTTTTTCTGCACGCTGATGTTCAACTGCCTCTGAGTCACTTTGTACTCCAGCTGCGAAACACACAATGGGGGGCAGACACAGGAACATGCCTCATTAGAACTGGGGCCCTCATGACTAGAATGTTTTTGATTCAATCAGGGCTGGTGAAAGGTTCTGTATTGACAGCTCTGGAGAGCAGAAGGGTTGTGTCTGAGGATTTGCCTACCTGCCAGTCGGGGGGTTGCAAGTGCAGCTTGCACAGACAAACCTGAGCTACTTTTACTCTAGCTAGCTCGGGTAGGGTAGCAGTAAGCCACAGAAACGCATGCTGTACAAGCCCACCTGGAACGCTGGGTAATCGCTCGAGCGGCTAGCCCCCACGGAAGCCCAGGCTGCTGCAGCTTCACGGCTCTGGGCTGAGGTTAAAGCTAGCTCGGGGACGTCTGCGTGAGCTGCAGTCATGCCCCAACTGCAGTATGGATCTACCGGAAGGGGGAGAAGGCAGTTCAGTACCAACAGCCACATTCAGCGTCTGGTGCCTCTGCGGTAACTGCCTATCAAGGGTGCCAGCTGCAATGGTGATAGTTTTTGGGATGGTCTAGCTGTCAGTAGACTGGTTTCACAAGACCCTCAGCTCATTTCACACAGGCCACTAAGCAGCCCTTAGAGCAGTGGTCTCCAAGCTTTTTAAGCACAAGATCACTTTTTGAATTTAAGCGCAACCCAAGATCTATCTACCTCAAAGGAAATGTAGAAATAACAGTAATCACACAAACCCCAAAACCCTTGCCCCGCCCCATGCCCCAGCCCCACTCACACCATCCCCCCTCCCTCCATTGCTCGCTCTCCCCCACTCTCACTCACTTTCATCAGACTGGGACAGGGGGTTGAGTTGTGGGGTGGGGGGGGGGGCGGGCTGTGGGGTGGGGCAGAGGGATTTGGAGTGTGGGAGGGGCTCCGGACTGAGCCTGGGGCAGGGGTACAGGAGGGGGTTCAAGGTGCGGGTTCCGGGAGGGAGTTTGGGTGCAGGAGGGGGCTCAGGGCTGGGGGTCAGGAGTGCTGGGTCTGGGAGGTGGCTCAGGCCGCGGTTTCGGGTGCAGGCTCTGGGAGTGGGCTGGGGCAGGGCGCTGGGCTGCAGGGTTGTTGGGATTTTGTGGTTCCCAATTAATAACCAAACAAAGGGAGAGCCCCGGTTCAAAGATCAGCCAGAGTCCCTCCAGCAAGGAGCCCCTCCCGTTGCTATTTTATAGTACATGGCAGTTACGTAACACAAACCTCAAGCCAATCATATTTAACCTTTCCATATATGGATTTGTTCATCACATGCTTATACTTCTCCACTCCACGTGTTGAGCTCACCCCGTCCCCTTGGCCTTTTCTAGAATGTTCCTAGGGTGGTGAGCCACAGAATGCTTCTTTATGCCTATGTACCTTCTAAATCACATTTTGTTTAAAATGAACATAAGTATACTCTTCAGGGTGCAGGCTGTGGGAGGGGGTTGGGGTGCAGGAAGCGTACGGGGTGTAGGGGGGGCTCAGGGTGCAGGAGAGGGTGTGGGGTGCAGGCTCTGGAGGGAGTTTGGGTGCGGGGAGGGGGGCGCTCAGGGCTGGGGGAAGGGGTTGGGGTGCAGGAGGAATTCGGTGTGTGGGCTCTGGCCAGGCACTGCTTACCTCAGACAGCTGCCGGGCAGTGGGGCTAAGGCAGGCTCCCTGCCTGCCCTCGCCCCACACCGCTCCCAGATGCGGCCGCCGCGTCTGGCAGTGGCTCCCCCGGGGGGGCGGAGAAGAGAGGCAGATGGCTCCACATGCTGCCCTGTCCGTAGGCACTGCCCCCGCAGCTCCCATTGGCTGGGAACGGGAACCGCCCCCTCCTCCCGGAGCCACTGCCAGACATGACGGCCACTCCCAGGAGCAGAACGGGGCTAGGGCAGGCAGGGCGCCTGCTTCAGCCCCACTGCGCCACCGGACTGTTCGTGGTCAAACTCCCAGTTCGGCTGCAGGAGGGTTGGCAACCCGATCGCAATCGACTGGTCGATCATGGAGCCTCTGACAATCTCAGTCTCAGTGCCTGAGGATTCACTGCCAGATACTCCACGGTCGACCAGTCGATCGCAATCTAACTGCATTAGAGGGTAACTATCAATTTTAGGCTGGAGTTGAACCAGTGACCTAAATGCAAAAAGTGCTGGGGCCTGTTAGTCAGCCCCTGGACCACCCAATCCTCCTTAATAAGTACATTTCAGGCCAAGCATGAAGATACTGCTAGCACTGGCTGCGGTGAGTTCTTACTAGCAAAATGTACAGTGGTAACAACTGAAAGAAAGGGGTCTCTCTTTCCCAAGGGGCAACTGCCCCAATTTTAAAAGTTCCTAAAATAACCTAGAGATATGGAAGTGCCGAGAGGCCGCTTGTGTAGCTGCAAGTCAAAGTGAAAGTTTCTCAGTTCTTTTGCTCTTTTCTTATTTTATCAGCTTCTTTGACAGAGAAGAATCCAGACTGGTGACCACATGTTTGCACATGAAGGTCATGGATCAGGCACTCAGAAGCTGCCAAAGAACCAGGCCAATGGTGGGAAAGTCACTTCTCCGTGTTTCTACTGGGGATAGTTCATACAGCACAGTAACTCCATCTCCTAACTATAACACCTGCCCCCTGCAGTGGCCATGGAACGAATATTTGCACCTTTAATTAGAAAGGGGGCAAAATCACACGTCTGGATTTCTACACTACCCCACCTACCTGTCAAATCTTTGGTGCAGTTTGAATCCACACTTAGCACTTTGATTACAATCCTTTGAGTAAGAAAGGGTGCTAAATCTTTCACAAACGCAAAGCCTTCCGGAGTAGATCTCTCCATTTTACAAATGAGGTAGCAGACCTAGGGTACAACTACACTAGACTTTGGCCCCTTGCGGTACTTACACATTTGTAAAGGCTAGTGTCACCACTCTCCTCCCCACACACACACTTAAGCCAGGCTATAAACACCTGATCGACCTGCATCCAACATGTGTGGTGGGTGAATTACACTAGCCTTTTCAAATGTGTAAGCATCTCAAGTTAATTAGGAATCAGGTACAAAAGGCTAGTGAATTCAAGCTCAAAGAGAACAGTGAGTTGCCTGAGTTTAAACAGCAAGTTAGTGGTACAGAAACCTGACACAGAGGACCAGATAGGTGCCTTGTGGAATTTTCACCCTCAGTATTTTTGAAAACCACACAAGGCAACTACTGCATCCTTGATTGCCTAAATATCTTTACAAAACTGATTCTTTGTGTCCTATTCCAGCTATTAGGTACATTCCCTTTGTCCAAGATTTTGCAACTGTTAAAGGCCAAGGCTTCTGCCAATTGAACTTCTCAATATATGAGATTAAAATGCACTCAAGACTAAAATAACCCACTGTATGGTAGCGAGGGACAGTACATATTGCAGGGCTTTGGAGCGCGAAGCAGCTCTGGAGCAGTGGAGCTGCAGGTTTTTGCCTGGAGCTGGAGCGGAGCCGGAGCACAGCTCCAAAGCCCTGACATATTGAGGAGTGCATGTGTGGAGTTTGGGTTAAAAATGGGGCTGAAATAAAGCAACAACAACTTACAACTTCTACGTTAAAAATCTCATTTCTGGAACTAACGTTTTCATGTTTTGGGGGTCTTACGGAGAAGCTGGAGTTTTACTCAAAGCTTTATTCCTTCAAGCAGCCAAGTTAAATTGTTTCTAACTCAACCACACAGACACATGATCAGGTGCATCTTCAGTGAATGGTCCTTCATTCCAGGTCTATTCTACTGTAGCGAGTGGGGTGTGGTCTCCCTCCATGCACTCCTATACCTACTTTAATTATATTTACATACATCACAGTGTGGGGAGGGAGCTCTGATTACTTCCCACTGGCAGCAGAGCTATGTGGCTCTCCTTTGATGTGGTGGAGACAATGGATAATTAATGGACAGTGAAACACTTTTGTTTATTTGCAAGATGGCTAGCGGCCATCTCTGAAAATATGAGCCACCCGTATGAAGCCACCAGCAAACATCCCAGATTTAATCCTGTGGCAGTGGGGTATCATGTCAATAAGCTGATGCTGTGGTTGGAGAACTAGACTGACTGGACCTACAGGTATTTATAGGGAAGATGTAAAACAGCTGAGCTGCACAACATGGGGCTCTTAATCTATTCAACAATCTAGCCACATGCCGGCCCCACCCTTGATTAAGTTTATTGAAAAAACTGATGAAGTGATTTGGGAAGGAAGGGGTGAAGATCATCTGTCCAAGGCGGTACCATTAGCTCCATCAGCTAATGCGGGATGGTCTGTTACCGCTGATTGCAAGGTGGTGCAGATCACCACAGCTTTCGAGGGGGTTGTCCTGGGGGACTCTGTTACTCTTGCTAAGTCATCTACAAGGATGGTGGTATTTGTTCCGCCTGGCTGAGGGTGCTCAGTCCTTCAAAATGCTGATAATACCCTGCTCTCTCCCCTCCAAGCCAGCCAATACAGAGGATCACCTTACTCCATACCTAGCTCAAATGAGGGCCAACGGGCTGAGCTCAGTCTGATATGACGGATGCTAGAAGACTGGAGAAGGCAACTAGAAGCTATGGCCAAGGTAAGATCCGCCTCTGAACAAGGGCGTTTCCACATTTTGTTGTTTGAGTTTGCAATCTTGGGGTGGCTCGATTCCCACCTACTAGCTGACCGGAGAGCAACAGCTTTTCTCCACCCTATGTGGCACCAGCGCAGTGCAGCTGTTTCCCCTACGCCATTCACCCCCTGCTACCATTCTCCAGTCCTTTGTCAGTGCACTCTGCATGGGGCTATATCTCTGATCCATCCAGAAACCGAAGCTGGTGCAAAACCCAGTAGCCTTTTAATTAACATGTTCCATTAGTGCTGCGACCTGCCCCGGGTGCCTAATGGCTTCCAAGGGATTGATGAAGAGATTGGTTTTGATCTATAGCACCACAAGTGGCCTGGGACCTGCTTGCCTGAGACCAGGTCTACGCTAGGGACTGTTGCCAGCATGGCTATGCAGGCCAAGGGTGTGAAGAGGTGAGTTCCCTGACCAACACAGGGGTGCAGGTAAAAGTCCCTGGTGTAGATGCAATGATATGTGCAAAACTAGCCTTTTATGGCATGGCTTGTTTCACTCATGGGGGGTGGTTTTACGATACCATAACTTTGCCAGAAATAGCTGCGTCCAGACTGGGAGCACTTCACAGGTATATTATATGAGCAAAGTGCTCCTACTATACCAATCAAAGCATAGTTTTGTAGCTGTAACTGAATCTACGCTATGGACTTTGGCTGGCACAGCTGTGTTGGCCAAGGGGGCTCCAGCACCTCTGTGGGCTCATCTGCGACAATATGGCCATCACTGGTTAGCTTTCCATGCTGTCTAGTAATATGACACTCAAGATGCCACTTGTTGGGAGCCATAGCTCGCTCTCCAGTCCTGGCCTCAGATTATCCGAACTGCCTGCCAGCCCATTGTTTGGTCTTTATCAGATATTTAAAAACACATGTCAAGTCTCTTAACAACGCTGTTCTGCATTGGCATGGAGGATGTGCAGGTGCACAAATACAGCAGGACGTGCTCAGAGTGATTTGGGGTTAGACTAATGGCTGGTCCACACATAGGCCTGTGCCAACTTAACCAAATCAGTTTGCTAAAGCCAATGTCATTATTTCACTGCAGTTCTGTGAGTGGACACTTATTTCGGAATAGAAGTGACTACAGTCTACGGAGCCAGCTGACTTTAGTTAAATATATGAACACTTGTTTTTTATTCTGCACTAAGAGCACCCATGCACCATAATAACTAATTAGATCAATTTTAATTCTCACCTCTTGTTGTTTTCTTGCAAATATTTGGGTAGACAAGGCCTGGAACTCTGATTATAATGGAGTCTAAGGCAAAGAACTTTTGCTGCTTTTACTGCAAAGCTTTGTTTCGATATTGATGGGTTGGCAATTCCCTTGAAATTCAGCAATTTACCCCTCCAGAGAGGAGTTAAATTCTGCATTTCAAATGAAGTGACTCCTCTCCTTTCTTTGCTCGGCAAGATGGGAAGGGAAGGTCTATCTACCCCAAGGAAGGAAGGATTCCGCAGAATTTCCCAGATTTACTGCCGCTATTCCTGGTGGGCAAATAAAAAGAACCAGGACAATTACAGGACAAGTCTTGCTGCAGCTGCTCCCCACTGGGAGTGAAGATCAGTTTTGCAGGACCCCCTGTGACTAAAAGGACAGGCAGATCTTGGGAGTGCCAGGAAGAGTCAATCTTCCCAGGTAGGCTCTCTCCAGTTATAAGACAGGAACTAAGACAGCGCTTCACAGTGAGAGCGTTGCAACACGTTCATGCTGGGATTCTTTGTAATTCGTACAAGCAATGAGAGCACACGTCAAGATTTTTAGCAAGGTCACAGAATACGTAAGAGGTGGTGTTGTTTTATTTCAGAGAGGCTGCACTTCCCATAAGCTAACTTAACAGCGGATGGGATGTTTTCATTCAGAAAAATTGCTAGATTCTCTGCTATTTTACTGCTCCAGTAAATTTTTAAGCTACCCACCACTCGCTTCTGTAATTAATTTAAAGCCATGTTCATGTAAACCCATATTTATGAGAGCAGTATGAGATCTGTGTGAGAAAGGTGCGGAATCAGTCTCAAAGACAGGGTATTGAATGCGTACTGCACTTAGAACTTTAAACATTAGTAAAATCATCTGTTATAGCAGGGCTGGGCAAACTTTTTGGCCCGAGAGCCACATTGGGGTTGCGAAACTCTATGGAGGGCCGAGTAGGGAAGGCTGTGCTTCCCCAAACAGCCTGGCCCCCTGCCCCCTATCTGCCCCTTCCCACTTCCTGCCTGCCTCTGAACCCCCAACCCATCCAACCCCCCTGCTCATTATCCCCTGACTGCCCCCTCCTGGGACCCCACCTCCTCATCCAACCCCCCCTGCTCCCCATCCCCTGACCACCCCATCCAACCACCCCCTGCTTCCTGTTCCCTAACTGCCCCCCGGAACCCCCTGTCCCTCATCCAACCCCCCTGCTCCCTGCCCCTTTACCATGCTGCTCAGAGTGGCAGGACAGCCAGCCATGCTGCCCACGCGGTGGCATGGCTGCGGGGGAGAGGGGACAGTGGGGGAGGGGCGGGGGGCTAGCCTCCCCAGCTGGGAGCTCAAGGGCCGGGCAGGGCGGTCCCGCAGGCCTGGATGTGGCCCGTAGTTTGCCCACCTCTGTGTTATAGCATCACGAAGCAAAGCAACAACCCTAAATTGCATCCCAGGAAATTTAAAGCATAGTCATTTCCTTTTGGAGTTTTTTTTTTTTTAAACCACTTAACAGTAATACTTTTCTTTTGTAAAACATAGAAGAAAAAAATACATACTTGGGGCTTGACTGGTTCTAGAAATGCAAGCTGAAATTCATATACATTGTCCCCCTTGGCACCATGACCCTGGGCTAAAAGAAAAGGAGCAACAATCAGTGTAAAGATCCTGATTCCCCACCACCACCGCACACCATGTGCAAAATGTACTTTAACTATAATTATTCAGTGTTTGTTTAAAGTGCCCTCCCCTACCCCACGGTGCTGCATGATCAAACTATGTAATAATGGACATGCAAAGACAGCGTCACAGCTTTTTAGAATTTAATTCGCTTTTAACGAAGTGACATTTAAAAATGCGTTGGGTGCCTTATAGGGGGGTCGACATCCACTATAACAGAGAATAGTGCTGGAAAAGGACCTTCATGTGAGGCAGGAATGGATGAGACTCCAGGAGGAGCAAGTTCCTCCCAACGGGATCTATCGCAGCAAAGGATCAGCTGCCCAATTTAAGATGCAATGGTGAAATCCCTAAAACATCAGTGATGACAGAGTGCAAATACGCCCCAGGATTCATCAGTTTCCTACAAAGCCAGGTCCTTCCCCATAAAATCCTCTGAAAGCCATCAGGCTCGGCAAAAAATATGCCATTTTAAAGGGTGCCATTGTAAAATAATCCTGTCCACATAAAACGATACAATCTAAGCCAACACATTATGTCTTTACCATATGCTTCTGGGCCACAAGAGTGGTATACAGGCTCAAGGATGCAGTATGAAAGATACACAGTAGATTCCTAATGCAAAAAAGCAACAATATATTCCTTGCACTAACCTGACAAGCAAAACAGCGAACTCGGTCCCTTAAGGGTGAACTGTTCAGTCAAAACAAAACAAAAACTTTTACAAAGGAATCTATTTACCTTTCAAATTGAATTTTAGTTCCTGGTCCAAAACCTGCTCGTATTTGCACACAAGGTCTTTGTGACAGTAGTACTGCTTTCAATGTGAAGTTTAGGGAAAGAGACGTGGATAATCAGCTGACATATTTAAATGTGGTGCATGGTTTGTTTGGGTTTTTTTAATTAAATATGGTGCTGCTATCAACTACTACCGCTAGACCTAGAACATTTACCTGAAACCCAAAACCACCAGCTCCAGCTGTATTGTGTTACAGGCTCTGATGTTCAAGCTCCCCCGGGGTGAGTGTAGGGGTCCAGGATCAGGGCCGAAATCATTACGACCAAGAAAAGAAAGTAGAGAAGTTGTGGCCAGCAATCCCTTGGCAATCCTAGGCTGCACAGCTGCGTGTTGCTAGGAGTCCACCCCTGTGCAGAGGGATCAGGGATGCTATTCACTTTGAAAGAAATGTAGTCACCTACCTTTGAAATGAAGCACGTCGTCCATAATGGTGATCTCGGGGCTCTGAGGAAAGAGAGGATGTTTTAGGCGGCAGGCGTGTACCCCTTTCAAACAAACTGTTTTAAGGCCAGGATCCTGGCAACTGAGAGGGATTCAGAAACTGACCCAGAAGAGCCTGGGGGCACTTCAAGCAGCAAAGTACCCCGGTTACCAGTTACACCTGTGGTTCTCCAGACTTTTTCTAATGCACCTGGCATGAGATGGGGGAAGGGTAGTTAGGAGGGAGTCTCCCTGCGCTGTATACACCATGCAGAGGACGGTGCGGGGGCCTGTACGGGGGGGGGGGGGTGTCTCCCTGGGCTGTACACGGCGCATGGGACAGGGATGCTGTAGAGGGGGGGTGGGGGGTCTCCCTGGAATGCATGCCCCGTGCACGGGAGGGGGGCGCTGTACAGCAGGGAGGGGGTGTCTCCCTGGGCCATACACGGTGCATGGGACGGGGTGCTGTAGAGGGGGGTGGGGGGTCTCCCTGGAATGCATGCCCCGTGCACGGGAGGGGGGCGCTGTACAGCAGGGAGGGGGTGTCTCCCTGGGCTGTACACGGTGCATGGGACAGGGGTGCTGTAGAGGGGGGTGGGGGGTCTCCCTGGAATGCATGCCCCGTGCACGGGAGGGGGGCGCTGTACAGCAGGGAGGGGGTGTCTCCCTGGGCCGTACACGGTGCATGGGACAGGGGTGCTGTAGAGGGGGGTGGGGGGTCTCCCTGGAATGCATGCCCCGTGCACGGGAGGGGGGCGCTGTACAGCAGGGAGGGGGTGTCTCCCTGGGCTGTACACGGTGCATGGGACAGGGGTGCTGTAGAGGGGGGTGGGGGGGTCTCCCTGGAATGCATGCCCCGTGCACGGGAGGGGGGCGCTGTACAGCAGGGAGGGGGTGTCTCCCTGAGCTGTACACACCATGCCCGGGACAGGGGCACTGCACAGTCGCGAAGGAGTGTCTCCCGAGTCCGCATTGCCCATGCATGGGATGGGGTTGGGGGGCGGGGGGGTCTCGCTGGGTTGCATGCCCCAGGGACGCGACAGGAGCGCCTCCCTGGGCTGTACGCACGCTGCACGCAGCAGGGGCCCGGCACAGCGCGGGAGAGGCCGTGCCCCGGGCGCGGACGGGACCGGGACCGGGACCGGGACGGGGGGCGGCTCCCCGGGCTGCGTGCCCGGCGCGCGGGACATGGGGCCCGGCGGTACCTGCACGTCGCTCAGCTCCACGCGCAAGTAGAGCTCGCGGTGCCGCTGCGCCCAGTGCACGTGCGGGGTCAGGCTCTGGCGCTGCATCGTGGCGGCCGGGGCAGGCCGGGCTCCGAGGGCTCCGCGCGGCGCCTGGCGAGGCCGGGGGGGGGGGGTTGGTTGCCCCCGACGTGGGGCGGAGCGAGCGAGCGCCCGGGCCCCTGCGCACGCGCCCTGCCGCTGTCTCCTCCCGCCCGCCTCCGGCAGTGGGGTGCCCCGTGGGGCTGGGCCCGGGCGGGGGCGTGCTACGTCCTGGGCTGTGTAGGGTGCGGCTGGACCCTGGGTAGCACCGGTGCATGGTGCAGCTAGGCTAGGCCAGGCCGTGCGTGGTGCAGCCGGGCCCTGGGTAGCACCGGTGCATGGTGCCGCAGGTTAGGCAATGCACCGGTGCATGGTGCAGCGGGGCCATGGGTAGCACCGGTGCATGGTGCAGCTAGGCTAGGCCGTGCGTGGTGCAGCCGGGCCCTGGGTAGCACCGGTGCATGGTGCCGCAGGTTAGGCAATGCACCGGTGCACGGTGCAGCGGGGCTAGGCAGTGCAGTAGGGCTTGGTGCAGCCAGGCTAGGGATTGCAGCACCGATGCGTGGGAGCTATGGACTGCGCCGGTGTTTAGTGAAGCAGGGACAAGGGGTACACCCCATCTGTTGCATTGATGGCACTGGTGCCCCGGGAGGAGGCTAATTGGATTGATGAGGTTTCTGGCTGCTCTGGTTCTGAAGTTGCTGAGGACAGTTGTGCTGGGTGTCTGTGCAGAGCGCCATTCTGGCCCCGCTCGGCACTATGTGGCCACCATGGGACTATACCACGTGATGTTTGGTTCCCCTTTCTGGCTTTGGTGACGGCTTTTGACAGTAAAGCTTTTGGTACTGTCTTGCATGACCTGCTCAGAAGCAAACTAGGGAAATGCAACCTAGATGGAGCTACTATAAGGTGAGTGCATAACTGGTTGGAAAACCATTCCCTGAGAGCAGTTATCAGTGGTTCACAGTCAGGCTGGAAGGGCATAAAGGGAGTGAGGTCCCGCAGGGATCAGTTCTGGGTCTGTTCAATAGCTTCATTAACGATTTAGATTAATGGCACAGAGTATACTTATAAAGTTTGCGGATGATACCAAGCTGGGAGGGGTTGCAGGTGCTTTGGAGGATAGGATTAAAATTCAAAATGATCTGGACAAACTGGAGAAATGGTCTGATGTAAATAGGAGGAAATTCAATAAGGACAAATGCAAAGTACTTCATTTAGGAAGGAACAATCAGTTGCGCACACACACAAAATGGGAAATGACTGCCTCGGTAGGAGTACTGCAGAGCGGGATCTGGGGGTCAGAGTGAGCCACAAGTTAAATATCAGTCAGCTGTGTAACACTGTTACATTCCAGAATGTTGTTTGCTTTTTTTGTATTAGCAGGAGTGTTGTAAGCAAGACAAGGAAGTAATTCTTCTGCTCTACTCTGCTCTGATTAGGTTTCAGCTGGAGTATTGTGTCCAATTCTGGGTGCCACATTTCAGGAAGAATGTGGACAAATTAGAAAGAGTCCAGAGAAGAGCAATAAAAATGATTAAAGGTCCAGAAAACATGACCTATGTGGGAAGACTGAAAAAATTGGGTTTCTTTAGTCTGGAAAAGAGAAGACTGAGAGGGGACATAACAGTTTTCAAGTATGTAAAAGGTTGTTACAAGGAGGAGGAAGAAAAATTGTTTTTCTTAACCTCTGAGGATAGGACAAGAAGCAATAGACTTAAATCGCAGCAAGAGCGGTTTAGGTTGGACATTAGGAAAAACTTCCTGTCAGGGTGGTTAAGCACTGGAATAAATTGCCTAGGGAGGTTGTGGAATCTCCATCGTTGGAGATTTTTAAGAGCAGGTTAGACGCACACCTGTCAGGAATGGTCTAGATAATTAGTCCTGCCATGAGTGCAGGGGACTGAACTAGATGACCTCTCGAGGTCCCTTCCATTTCTATGATTCCATGACCGTGCCTGGAACAGGGTGGTAGAGAGTTCCCTACTCATCTTGGACCAACATGCTGCTCCGTTAAAGGCCATTCTCTTCATTGTGATATTTATGTCCTTGCCCATCAGTACAATGGTTCCTGCCTGACCTCTCCCCTTTGTTTAGGGATGTAGAGTGGTGGATGAAGGGGGAGGAATGCAGTTTGAGTGCTGTCACTTGAGACCGAGTTGCCACATTTGGCCTTTCTGAAGCTGTCGCTATGCTGGAGGTGGAGAGAGACTTCTCCATCTTCCCTGCAGCAGCCCTTAGAGGAGCCACTCCAGGGAGTTGATAGCCTGGTTAAACCTGGTGGCAGCCACATAGCTGTGGAGTTAATTTTCCTCCCGGTGAAGTACGTTAGTGCCACTTTGTGGATAAAATTATGCAGATCCTGACTGAGGAGTCTGAATCCTCTGAGGCTCAGCAGTGTCTTGAGGGCACAAACACCATGTCCTCCTGAGTTTCAGACAGTGCTGTGGGTTGGATCTTTGTCCTTCCTAGCTGGAGAAGGCCACCCACTGTTAGCTGAGATGATCAGTGTTTCCCCCTGGGACACAGGCTGTCCACTGGCTTGAAGACAGCTGAGGCTAGCATCCCTGAATGCTGACAGTTGCTTCCCAATGATAAATCGTTGAAAAGATTGTCAGGACAACAAGGACCCTCAGATTTCCTTGATCCCAGAGACAAAGAAATCTGCATCTTAGTGAAGAAACAGCATGAGGTCTCCTTCCTTCACCAGACTCCCTGTCTCTTGCTTCTCAGCTGGAAATGCTTTTCAGACTGGGACTGAAACTGTAAAAAGGAGGGGCAAACCGCCCAAGACCCTCTCTTCCCCCCCTGCCCATATCACTCTCCACACCTGAGAAGACAGAAGAATCGGCTGTTGGACTCTGGGGAAGGGGTCCTGCCCGGAAAGTTCGGTCAGTAATGCTGTTGTAAGCATGTGTTGAGACACTGCTTTGAATCTAACGTAGTTTTGTTAAGGTAGGTGCTGGAAAGCATTTTTATCTTTATTGTAACCACTTCCGCCTTTTATGCCTCATTACTTGTACTCAAAACCTTTGTAGTTAATAAACTTGTTTTATCTAATCTGGTGTGTTTTAAATTAAAGTGCCTGAGTAACTCCATTAGGGTGGTAAGCTGGTGTATATTATTCCCTTAAAGGAATAACAGATGTCATATATTTGGACTGTTCAGCGGAGGGCTGGGCATACAAGGCATACATTTCTGGGGGGGAATCCAGGACTGGGAGTGTTTTGGGTTCACCTTCCAGTATAACCAAGGCTGATGAGAGCCAGAGTGTAACTCAAGTGTGGTTGTCAGGCTGTTGTTACACACAGACACTCAACATGGGGCTTGCAGGCTGGAAGGCTGTTTGTGAGTGGCCCAGGTGGGAGCTACTTCAGCAAGGTATTGTAAGGCACCCAAGGTTGTAGGGCAGGGGTGATACTGCCCCTCACTGGTCTCAGTTGCACCCTGGTATGTCACAAGTACCCTTGAAGTCAATGGAAAGGCTCAAGAGGCTTTGGACTGGGCTCACAATGCATACATTTGTTACTATTTCTACAGAGCTGTCATGGTGAATAGTGATTCTGGTTTCCACCCAACAGACAATCTCCATGTGTCTGAAAACAGACATGTGTTTTTAACCCTGAAGTTAGCTTTTTTTTTTTTTTTATGAGAATAATTTCTCTGTCAGTTGAATTTCTCTTGGGCCATTTCCAGATCTATTCATCATACAAATGAAGGCTCCAATCCTGCAGTGAGATCCGCACAGGTGTATACCTGTGCCTGTATAGAGCCCAGTTGACATGATGTGAATCCTTGCAGGTATGTGTGGTGCACCTGCACAGATCCATGTGCAAGACAGGGACCTAATGGACTGCAGAACATTTTAATTCTGGGATGTCCTGAAAGCAAACTATTTGGTGGCTGGTGACAGTTAGATTAGACTTCTAGGTTCCCCAGTCTGCTTTACAATCCCATCAGCTATTCAAAGAAACACCAGCATGAAAGGAAACACACAAACACACCTCAGTTTAAAATTAAACACAGTGAGGCAAGTGCCTTGTGTGACTTGCTCCAAACACTGCCAGCATATACAACATTGTGTTGACATCCTTTATGTGTGACATGATCAGCCTCTCCCAGTGCTCAGAGACGGGAGAGTGCATGGAAGTCATGGAATAATAGCACAATTTGGGTTTACTTTAATCCTTTCTCTTTGTTTAATCCTGTTCAAAGAAAAATAGCTATATTGTAGTAGGGTCAAATGTTACGTTTCTGTTGTTTACTGACAATGCAAAGGGTGCAAAAATCAACAGCAGATGGGACCAAGGCTCTTGAGTTGAGGTGTACTACATGTAATGTTTTCTTTTGACCTTGGCTTAGGAATTTAGCATATCTGATCTCATTAATTCATTAAATAGAAGGATATTGGTAGCAGCTCCACAGTTCAGGATGGGTTGAGATTTGTGGTCTTATTTGGCATCAAATCATATGATTAGGAATGGACTTTTTTTTTTTTTTTTACAGCTCCCAAATATGCACCATTTAACTCCTAAGGTACAAGTTTAGTAGGACTAAAAATAGTTGATGTTTGCATGGGACAGCTGGGAGGGATGGAAACTAAGCAGATTCTTAAAGCCATTGTTGATTAAGCAGTGAAATTCCCCATCAATTAGGAGGAGGGGGTGGGGAAAAGGCCCCACAAAATTCTGAAAGCCGTGGAGCAAAGTAGATGGTGAGTGTCACAGTTTCAGGGTAACTGCACCTCCGTCTCCTCCCTGTGGGCTGCTCCAGGAATGCCTCATCAGGTCTCCAGCTGTCACCTGTCTCTGAACCAGGACCTTTGCCTCACTCCCTTCTGAATGGGGTGTTGAAGTCTGCTCAGCTCCCTGTCTTACACTGAGTATCCCCCAGCAAGCCAGTCTGCTGACAGACCAGCATCTGGACGTGCTCTTTTTATGGTTGCCTACAAGCTCTTTCTCAGCAAAGTACATTTATTTTAAAGACAATAATTGTTCCTATATGCCTGCTAAAAGCTTACCAGCGGTCACCTATCAGTCTTGTGGGGCCCTACTAAGCCAAAGACTTTTCAACCGTCTGCAAGATCTGGGGAACCCCGTGGGACAATCCTGCTGTTGGCTGGATGAAAATGAACACCCTGTGTCAGCTCAAGCTCATCTTTTTATACCAAAAGCTCTTCCTTTGGTGGAGTTTCTGGAAAACCTAGTTTGACTAACTACCCCGGGGGCTGTGCTGTTCCCAAGTTGTTTACAAGCTCCAGCGTACTATGCCCCTTCCCTAACTAATGCCCCTGTTTGTAGTTGCTGGAGTGGTGGTGGCAGTAACCTTCCTACAGGGGCTACTACACAATCCTACAGCAACCCATTGGTCCCCAAAGATACCGTAAGGCAGGGGTAGTCAGTAGGTGGGCTACAGGCCAAAGCCAGACCGCCAGATATTTTTGAATTGACTCCATAAGAACCGCCATACTGGGTCAGACCAAAGGTCCATCTAACCCAATATCCTGTCTTCCAACAGTGGCCAATGCCAGGTGCTTCAGAGGAAATGAACAGAACTGGACATCGTCAAGTGATTCATCCCCTGTCACCCATTCCTAACTTCTGGCAAACAGAGGCTAGGGACAGGACACCATCCCTGCCCATCCTGGCTAATAGCCATTGATGGACCTATCCTCCATGAACTTATCGAGTTCTTTTTTTGAACACTGTTATAGTTTTGGCCTTCACAACATACCCTGGCAATGAGCTCCACAGGTTGATGGTACGTGGTGTGAAAAAATACTTCCTTTTGTTTGTTTTAAACCTGCTGCCTATTAATTGCATTTGGTTACCCCTAGTTCTTCTGTTATGAGAAGGCGTAAATAACACTTCCTTATTTACTTTCTCCTCACCAGTCATGATTTTATAGACCTCTGTCATATCCCCCCTTAGTCATAGAATCATAGAACTGGAAGGGACCTCGAGAGGTCACCTAGTCCAGTGCCCTGCACTCAAGGCAAATCTAAGTATTATCTAGATCATCCCTAACAGGTGTTTGTCCAACCTGCTCTTAAAAAATTCCCCATGATGGAGAGATTCCACAACCTCCCTAGGCAATTTATTCCAGCGCTTAACCACTCTGACAGGAAGTTTTTCCTAGTGTCCAACCTGAACCACCCTTGCTGCAATTTAAGCCTATTGCTTCTTGTCCTATCCTCAGAGGTTAAGTCGTCTCTTTTCCAAGCTGAAAAGTCGCAGCCTGGAACGGCTTCCATATGAGGAGAGATTAATCATACCCATAATCGTTGTTGCCCTTTTCCAATTCCAATGTATCTTTTTTGGAAATGGGGCAACCCCATCTGTATGCAGTATTCAAGATGTGGGTGTACCATGGAATTACAGCGGCAATATGATATTTGTCTCATTATCTGTCCCTTTCTCAAGTTTCAGAGTAGCAGTCGTGTTCGTCTGTATTCGCAAAAAGAAAAGGAGTACTTGTGGCACCTTAGAGACTAACCAATTTATTTGAGAATAAGCTTTCGTGAGCTACAGCTCACTTCATCGGATGCATGCAGTGGAAAATACAGTGGGGAGATTTATATCCACAGAGAACATGAAACAATGGGTGTTACCATACACACTGTAACAAGAGTGATCAGGTAAGGTGAGCTATTACCAGCAGGAGGGGGGGGGACGACATTTTGTAGTGATAATCAAGGTGGGCCATTTCCAACAGTTGACAAGAATGTCTGAGGAACAGTGCGAGGGAGGGGGGAATAAACATGGGGAAATAGTTTTACTTTCTGTAATGACCCATCCACTCCCAGTCCCTATTCAAGCCTAAGTTAATTATATCCAGTTTGCAAATTAATTCCAATTCAGCAGTCTCTCCTTGGAGTTTGTTCTTGAAGTTTTTTTGGTGAAGAATTGCAACTTTTAGGTCTGTAATTGAGTGACCAGAGAGACTGAAGTGTTCTCCGACTGGTTTTTGAATGTTATAATTCTTGACGTCTGATTTGTGTCCATTGATTCTTTTACGTAGAGACTGTCCAGTTTGGCCAATGTACATGGCAGAGGGGCATTGCTGGCACATGATGGCATATATCACATTGGTAGATGTGCAGGTGAAAAAGCCTCTGATAGTGTGGCTGATGTGATTAGGCCCTGTGATGGTGTCCCCTGAATAAATATGTGGACACAGTTGGCAATGGGCTTTGTTGCAAGGATAAGTTCCTGGGTTAGTGGTTCTGTGGTGTGTGGTTGCTGGTGAGTATTTGCTGCAGGTTGGGGGGCTGCCTGTAAGCAAGGACTGGCCTGTCTCCCGAGATCTGTGAGAGTGATGGGTCGTCCTTCAGGATAGGTTGCAGATCCTTGATGATGCGCTGGAGAGGTTTCAGGGGACACCATCATAGGGCTGAATCACATCAGCCACACTATCAGAGGCTCGTTCACCTGCACATCCACCAATGTGATATGTGCCAGCAATGCCCCTCTGCCATGCACATTGGCCAAACTGGACAGTCGCTACGTAAAAGAATAAATGGACACAAATCAGACGTCAAGAATTATAACATTCAAAAACCAGTCGGAGAACACTTCAATCTCTCCGGTCACGCCATTACAGACCTAAAAGTGGCAATTCTTCACCAAAAAAAACCTTCAAAAACAGACTCCAAGGAGAGACTGCTGAACTGGAATTCATTTGCAAACTGGATACAATTAGCTTCGGCTTGAATAGGGACTGGGAGCGGATGGGTCATGACACAAAGTAAAACTATTTTCCCCCTGTTTATTCCCCCCCCCCCCCCCCGCACTGTTCCTCAGACGTTCCTGTCAACTGCTGGAAATGGCCCACCCTGATTATCCCTACAAGAGGGGCCCCCCACCCTCCCAGTAGCTCCCCTTACCCGGGCGCGAGCAGCCAGGGGTGTTACCCTCCCCCCTGTCAGGAGGGGGACCGGGTAAGGGGAGCTACTGGGGGGTGGGGACCCCTCTTGTAGGGATAATCAGTGGGCTGGGCCCTGCGCTCGCGGCGGGCGGCGCCGGCGGCCGGGCAGGGCTGGGGAGGTGCCGCCGGCGCCGGGGGGCGGGCGCGCTGCCGGCAGCGCCTCCTCCCTCCCGGCCGGGGGCAGTGTCCCGGCTCGGCCGCGCGGGGCGGCTCCGCAGCGAAGGGACGCGAGGAAACGGAAGCGCCGGCTGCGATCGCCGCCCCCGGCCCCGGCCCGCCCTAATCCGGGCCCTCCGCGGCGGCCGGGCCCGCGGGCAGAGCCAGCCGGCCGGGAGCCGCCAGCCCGCCGCCCCCGCGCGGTGAGTAACGGGCCGGGGGAGCCGCACCCGGGCCTGTCACCGTGGCGACAGGGCCGGGACCCCCCCCTCACCCCCGCGGCGCTGCAGCTGCCCCTCCCGCAAGGCCTCGGGGCTATCCCCGTAAACCCCCCCCCCCCCCGGGGACTGCAACTCCCCCCCCCACCCCCGCGGGTCCGGGACTCCCCTCTCCCCCTGCAGGGTGACACACACACACACACACACAGCGCTCCCCCCCCCCGTATCCCCCTCTGCAGGGCGACACACACACACACACACAGCGCTCCCCCCCCCCGTATCCCCCTCTGCAGGGTGACACACACACACAGCGCTCCCCCCCCCGTATCCCCCTCTGCAGGGCGACACACACACACACACACAGCGCTCCCCCCCCCATATCCCCCTCTGCAGGGCGACACACACACACACACACAGCGCTCCCCCCCCCCGTATCCCCCTCTGCAGGGCGACACACACACACAGCGCCCCCCCCCCCCGTATCCCCCTCTGCAGGGCGACACACACACACAGCGCTCCCCCCCGTATCCCCCTCTGCAGGGCGACACACACACACAGCGCTCCCCCCCCATATCCCCCTCTGCAGGGCGACACACACAGCGCTCCCCCCCCATATCCCCCTCTGCAGGGCGACACAAACAGCGCTCCCCCCCCCGTATCCCCCTCTGCAGGGCGACACACACACACACAGCGCTCCCTCCCCCGTATCCTCCTCTGCAGGGCGACACACACACACACACACACACAGCGCTGCCCCCCCCATACCCCCCTCTGCAGGGCGACACACACAGCGTTCCCCCCCCATATCCCCCTCTGCAGGGCGACACACACACACACAGCGCTCCCCCCCCCCCGTATCCCCCTGTGCAGGGCGACACACACACACAGCGCTCCCCCCCCATATCCTCCTCTACAGGGCGACACACACACACAGCGCTCCCCCCCCATATCCTCCTCTGCAGGGCGACACACACACACAGCACTGCCCCCCCATATCCCCCTCTGCAGGGCGACACACACACACAGCGCTGCCCCCCCATATCCCCCTCTGCAGGGCGACACACACACACAGCGCTGCCCCCCCATATCCCCCTCTGCAGGGCGACACACACAGCGCTCCCCCCATATCCTCCTCTGCAGGGCGACACACACACACACACACACAGCGCTCCCCCCCATATCCCCCTCTGCAGGGCGACACACACACACAGCACTCCCCCCCCATATCCTCCTCTGCAGGGCGACACACACACACAGCGCTCCCCCCCCCATATCCCCCTCTGCAGGGCGACACACACACACAGCGCTCCCTCCCCCATATCCCCCTCTGCAGGGCGACACACACACACACAGCGCTCCCCCCCCGTATCCCCCCTCTGCAGGGCGACACACACACACAGCGCGCTCCCCCCATCCCCCTCTGCAGGGCGACACACACACACACAGCGCTCCCCCCCCCCCCATATCCCCCTCTGCAGGGCGACACACACACACACACAGCGCTCCCCCCCCCATATCCCCCTCTGCAGGGCGACACACACACACACAGCGCTCCCCCCCCCCCCCATATCCCCCTCTGCAGGGCGACACACACACACACAGCGCTCCCCCCCCATATCCCCCTCTGCAGGGCGACACACACACACACAGCGCTCCCCCCCCCCGTATCCCCCTCTGCAGGGCGACACACACACACACAGCGCTCCCTCCCCCGTATCCCCCTCTGCAGGGCGACACACACACACACAGCGCTCCCCCCCCGTATCCCCCTCTGCAGGGCGACACACACACACACAGCGCTCCCCCCCCCCGTATCCCCCTCTGCAGGGCGACACACACACACAGTGCTCCCCCCCCCCCCCGTATCCCCCTCTGCAGGGCGACACACACACACACAGCGCTCCCCCCCCCGTATCCCCCTCTGCAGGGCGACACACACACACAGTGCTCCCCCCCCATATCCTCCTCTGCAGGGCGACACACACACACAGCGCTGCCCCCCCATATCCCCCTCTGCAGGGCGACACACACAGAGCGCTCCCTCCCCCGTATCCCCCTCTGCAGGGCGACACACACAGAGCGCTCCCTCCCCCGTATCCCCCTCTGCAGGGCGACACACACACAGCGCTCCCCCCCCCCCATATCCCCCTCTGCAGGGCGACACACACACACAGCGCTCCCCCCCATATCCCCCTCTGCAGGGCGACACACACACACACAGCGTTCCCCCCCCATATCCCCCTCTGCAGGGCGACACACACACACACAGCGTTCCCCCCCCCATATCCCCCTCTGCAGGGCTACACACACACACAGCGCTCCCCCCCCATATCCCCGTCTGCAGGGCGACACACACACACACAGCGCTCCCCCCCCGTATCCCCCTCTGCAGGGCGACACACACACACAGCGCTCCCCCCCCCCGTATCCCCCACTGCAGGGCGACACACACACACAGCGCCCCCCCCCCCATAGCCCCCACTGCAGGGCGACACACACACACAGCGCTCCCCCCCCCATAGCCCCCACTGCAGGGCGACACACACACACAGTGCTCCCCCCCCATAGTCCCCTCTGCAGGGCTACACAGACACACAGCGCTCCCCTTTTCCACAACATATGCGTCTCTTTACCTTGAGAATGCTCCCCCTCCCACACACCCCCTCTGTCCCATCCCCCCTCAGGGCTACACACAATCCTTGTGCTCCCCACATATACAACCTTGCAAATCTACACGCTCACAGAGCTCCTGTGTTCCTTCTCCAGCGGGGCTACACACCCATGGCTGGGCTTCCTTGCCACCACCTCTGGACTCCCCCTGTGCTTCCTCCCCCTGCTACATGTGTGCACGCATCCCTGCTGTGCCTTCCCACCTGCCAGATCCCACAACCCCCACACTTTGTCCCCCCCGACCTTGCAGGGCTCCATACACCCCCCCCCACACACGTGCCCACCTGCTCCCCGCTGCTGGTCCCACACTAGCCCCCATGCTCTCCCTCACTCTCTGCCTACGTAAAGTCTTTTGTAATAACTTCTCCTCCCCCCTTTCCCTCTAAAGGGCTCTTCCCATGAGGGCCTTATCTGCTGGACTCTCATACTCTTTATAGTGCCAAGTGACTTATCTGCAGGAATGGTCTCCCTGCCCATGCGCACCTGTGCCCCACCCGGAGGATGTTTCGCTTCTCTCTCTCTCTCACACACACACTCTCTCTCTTTGTGCCCCACATGCATGCACCCACTTCTTCTCTCCCCTGACTTACCACTCACATGCAGGACCCTTCCCCAGATGGGTCATGACAATAGGGGCGTTCTGGCAGGGTATGTTTGAACAGGGAGCTGCTATGCAGACAGCACGGCCAGGTGGGGAAGGCAGATGGGAATACCCAGCTCAAAGTATGAGAATAAAATGCAACAGGGCTTGGACAGAGCCTCCTAGCTGGGTCAGTACCCTCCAGAGAGACCAGTCAGGCCTGAGTGGTTTCTTTCCTCACCCCACTCACACTCCGGTTAACACTAGGGATATTTAAAGTATGGGGGGGGGGGGGGGGAATCTCAGGCCTTCCATTTAGGTATCTCATATTCTTCACAACCCCCAAAGCAGTTACCATAGCCTTTCTCTACCCTCCACTTAATATACTGAGAGATCAGGGTGGAGAGGGCATTAATTAAGAATCAGCAAAGAAATATTAATAACAAGTTCTTATACAGCCCTTCTCATCCATATGTCTCAAAGTGCTGTACAAAGGAGGTCAGTCTGATTAAATTTTACAGGTGGGGAAACTGAGGCACAAGGAGGGGAAAGAGGTGGACTTTGGCAAGTCAAACAGGTCAGCATCAAAGTCAGGAATAGAACCCATATCTTCTGCCTCCCAGCCCAGTGCTCTGTCTTCTAAGCAACACTGCCTCCCTTTCCAAAAGAGGAAGTGATCCCTTTTGCCACCCTTTGCCAGGCAGCTTTCAGGGCCAGCCATGCCTCAGACCCCTGACTCTTACAGCCTGAAAGCTGTTTGTTTTTGGCTGGTCATACTCCAGCTTCCTCTCCTATTGCAGCATCCTTTCTTGACTTCTAATTCGTTTGAATGGCATAGAAGTCGTAGCTGTAACAAGAAAATATGTCTTCCTAATTGACTGTGTGGGCAGATGTATGGGTGTTCAGCAAGCTCTAAAACCTGACCTGCCTGACACTTGCACAGCTAAGCCACTCCAAAGGATGTTATTCATAAGATATTGTTCTGTGGTGGTTAATGCGGAGACACAGATGTGGGCATCTAATCCCTCACTACCTCTCCATCCTCTGTGTAGGCTGCAGTTATGCCATTAAGCGGGCTTAAGAGAGTGTTATTTTGATGTCCTAAATATATTTGGGAGGGGAGTGAAGAGGGTGGGGAGGGGCGTCCACGAGTGTCAACTGAGTGAAAGGGGCTGATGACATTTGTAATTCAAATTCAGCTGTGAGTGGGCAGACCCCTGCACCTATGTAAAATCCCGTTGACTTCAGCTTTTTATGTGGGTAGACATTTTTCATGCTTATCTGCCTGTTAAAAGCTGCTGCTGCTTTTTATGTGTATGTTGAAAACCAGAATTTTGGAAACCTACCCAGGTAGGTGGGTAGAAATAACCAGGAATAATTTTGCTGGACTCTGCAAAATGTACAAGAGGCTTCTGATGCAAGTGTGAGGTCTGACCTCTGAAGTCAGAGGTAGGCAAACTACGGCCCGTGGGATGGTTCTGCCCGGCCCTTGAGCTCCCGGTCAGGAAAGCTAGCCCCCGGCCCCTCCCCTGCTGTCCCCCCTCAGCTCGCTGCACCACCAGTGCTCCGGCCCGCCTCTCCTGCTGTGGCTGCAAGCTCCTGCCGCTCTGAGAGGCATGGTAAGGGGGCAGGGAGCGGGGGGGTTGGATAAGGGGCAGGGGGTTCTGGGCAGCAGTCAGGGGACAGGGAGCAGGGGGCGGTTGGATGGGGTAGGGCTGTCAGGGGACGGGGAGCAGGGGGAGTTGGATAGGGGATAGCATCCCCGGGGAGCGGTTAGGGGCGGGAGGGGGCAATCAGGGGACAAGGGGGGTGTGTGGATGGGTTGGGAGTTCTGAGGGGGGCAGTCGGGCTGGAAAGTGGGAGGGGGCAGATAGGGGGCAAGGGCCAGGCTGTCTGGGGAGGTACAGCCTTCCCTACCCAACCCTCCATACAGTTTCAGAACCCCGATGTGGCCCTCGGGCCAAAAGTTTGCCCACGCATGTCTTAAGTTCTTTTAGGTTATGAGCAAAGCATTGCTTTAACCCGGGTAAAATTTTGGACACTCTCCAAATGTGCTTTGATTGTGATGGAGGAGGCATTTCATTTCTGCTGTCCGTTTTATGCTTTGTAAATGGCCTGGACAAAGGAAAAATAGGGCAGAGATTTATTTGGAGAGGCCTAGTGGCTGGAAACTGAGAATTAGGAAACTTGGGTTTTAGTCCCAGCAAGTCGTTTCCTCTCCCTGTGCCTCAATTTCCCCATCTGTAAAATGGGGGTAATGATGCTAACCTCCTTTGTAAAGCGCTTTGAGATCTATGGATGATAAGCTCTCGATAATATGATTGTTTTGCAAAGATGGGGCCAAACTGGAACTTTTTCCAAACATGCCCTCCCCAGGCCCCTGAATTTTAGCTGTTTGTATTAAAATGGGCTGGGGTTCAGGTCACACCCAGCAACTTTGGCTGGTCTCCAGTTGTTATTCAGCTCGCCTGTTGTATGTTGTTGTGTATGTCAGGCACACTTGTGTGTGTGTGTATTATAGTTGCATGGGAGCTTGGACTTGTGTAGCTCTGTGGTATAACTGGGATTTGTAGCAACATGGCACTCTTTTTATAAAAGAAAGTATTTTATTTATTTTTGTTTCAGTGTCTATGTAAAGTGCTGGACTGACACTCCTGTACGCTGGAGCCCTCTCTGTCCCTAGAAGAGGTACGTAACGCTTAATGGCAACACCATCGTTCCTATGGTGCCCCCCTCCCCCTTTCCTCTGCACTGAAGGGACCTCCTCTAGGAGCGAACAAGCAATTCAGTTTCCATGCTGATGGCTCTCCATCCTGGCAAACTGAACATTAGTTCAATTTGTTAATTTCTGAAATGGATCTCTAGAAAAACACAAAACAAGACTTGGGCTTCATGCTGGATGTTCACATTGCTCAACTGGAACTTAATGGCACGGCACTGTCTTGTGTAGAGGGAATGTTGAACCTGAGTGTCAACAGTTATGGTAATATTTGCATCATTGTTATTTAGCAGTAGCAGCATTGCAGTGCACAAAGGCCCCAGTTAGCATCAGGTTGCGCTACACAAGAGTAGACTTGATCTCTGCCCTTACGATCTAACTTGAAAGAAGACTTATCAAGTGACTGCAAGGAGGAGGACAATGTTAATAAGGTCATGTGGTTGCATTGGTCAACTGTGCACGGTTGGAAGGCTCCATATACAGTATCTGGAAACTTTTCCCCCTGACTGCTGCACAACCTTAGTCATTGTTGGTTGTAATATAGGCTTATACTATAAAGGTAGGTAACCTATGCAGGATAATGACAGAGAAAAGTAATCATGCAAGATTTAACAAAGAAGAACCAAGGAATTGTTGTTGTACCTCCTTCGTAAAATGAGAGTAAGCACCTATTTAACAAAAGTAGAAAACTTTATATAAAATATACATTGATCTGCAAAGTTCTTAATGCCATCCCCACATCTCATGCTTAAAGGTTTGGGCCTGAATGATGACAAGGTATTTTCCAAAATAAAAATCTCTGTTTAAAACTTGTATTGAAATAGCAGTTTGCTTGTATTGTTTTTGCTGGGCTATTTCTTTTTTGGAGTATATTTGCTAGCATGCTAAAAGGCAGCTGTCTGAAGTGTCCCCTTTGTCCCGTTCTTCCAGAAACATGCAACATGGCAGCAGCCATGGAAACTGAACAGCTGGGTCTTGAAATCTTTGGAACGTCTGAAAGCGAGGAGCATGCTGAGGCAGAGGAGCAGCCAACACTGGAACCCTTCTATGTAGAAAGATATTCCTGGAGTCAGCTTAAAAAACTGCTCACAGACACTAGGAAATACCATGGCTACATGGTGGCCAAGGCTCCTCATGATTTCACGTTTGTGAAGAAAAATGACCCTGAAGGACCCCATTCAGATAGGATCTACTATCTGGGTAAGTTGCTTGCGTGACCCATGTCTTGATTCAAACCCAGACAACCTCAGTGGTGGTTTTCGTGTTCTTCCTGTGAATAAGATGTATTGGACAGCAAAATCAGAAGGGCTCGTTATGGGCTTGATGCTACAATTGCTGGTCAGACTAACTGATCGTCCTGGTCCTTTCAGGCCTTAACATTTGTGAAAAAAAATCTTCCAAAGGAAAGAGGGGAGGGTGGTGGAAACGTCATCTCTTGGGACTCTTAGAACTGGACAAAGAATTAGAAAGTGTTCTTTCGGGAACAGCCCTGCACTAGCTGGGGAGATGGAGTAGCCGCCCGTGGAGGTCTTTCTGGGCTTATGTCTCTCATTGTTATGGACTTGATTCTATTGAAAATAAGTTTGATTTCTCCCCCCCCAAACATTGGTAGAATTTGTTTTTCTATTTGCTTGCACCCTGATGGAGGGGGAAAAGAGCATATCTGCATGTTAGCCTCCTAAAAAGAGAAATTGTAAGCATAATTTTCAGACACCTCAATGCCGCTGTTCCAGATAGAGCATATTTTCCAGGGTCACTGCAGATAGCTGGGAGGATATGTAAAAATGGGGACATATTTATTTACACAAATGAAATGCTTTGTTTTTCCTGTAGTTATCTTTGGCTTCTCCCGTGAATGGATGTATTAAAATTGTTATTCTTGGCCTCTTCTCCTCACTTTTCACTCATTTTTACTAATTGTGGTTCACTTAAACTGGGTAAATCTGGGGTTCTAAGTCAATGCTATGCCAATTTTAGTACTTCCATGTGATTTTTGTAGTGTGAAAGGTACTGCAGATGATGGGGGCGGGGCTTAGCAGGTTTTGTGGTTTCTGTCCAAAAGCCACAGTAGTAAACATGAAAAATCCAGTCTACAGGAAGTGGTGAAGCCCTGTTCAGAAAACAGAGCCAGAGCTGAATTCTGACTTCAGTGCTTGCTTCTTGGGAAAGTCTACACGCGGAGAAAACCCTGCGGCTGGCCTGGGTCAGCTGACTCAAGCTCATGGTGCTCAGGCTCCAGGGATGAAAACCTGCTGTGTAAACATTCGGGCTCTAACCCAATGCCAAAAGTCCAAACAGCAATTTTTAGCCCTGCGAGCCCAAGTCAGCTGACTTGAGCCACCCACAGCTGTGCTGTGTGTCTCTTATCCCTGTGTAAATGTACCCTTAGAGTCTGATTAGCAATTCAGAATGAAGGTGTGGAACCTCAATGAAATCCATGGAGTGCCACATGGGGGCACAGTCTGCCCACAAGCTGATCCAAAACCTGAAACTGATGATCTGTCCCCCTCAGTTTCCCCTCTCATAAAATGGGAGTTAGTAACATTTTAACTGACCTTCACAGCACCCTGGTGAGGCAGTTTCATGGACATGGTTAATTTGACACTTCATCCATTTATAGCAGTACTTTTAAAGTAATTTTTAGAGATTGAGCAGGAGGACCCAGAGGCGGATTGAGTAAATGGGCTTCTTTATTGCTGTACTTGTTCCCCTCGACCCAGTTGTCGAGCAAGCACTGGATTAGTTACGGCACACTTTTTTTATCTAAGTTAGTATATAAATACCTACATTTGTTGCAACACCCCCAAAGCCCTTATTGAGTAATATGAAAGCCATACAATGAATATTAATAGCTATATACTGAATATGATTATTGCCGCCCCTGTTTACTGTTTAAGCATATTATACAGCCATTTTTACCTTGAAGATACATTTCTTTGCAGTAGTTGTAGCCAAAAATTCACTTACTCAGCAGTTCGCAGGGAGGGGAGGAAGGAGCCATGACCCCAAGCTCATCTATGTAGCTGGGAAAGGAAGGAAGGGGGAGATTACCCTTTGAGTAAAGAAGTGTTTTCTTTAGACACCCACATTCCTTATGCAGCTGCAACGCTTATCAGTCCTTAACAAGCAGAAGGGAAGGGAGAGGGATGGCAACTTTATCAAGCAAAGAAATTGTGTGTGTGGGTGCCTACTCCCTATTACCATGATAGCGGTTTTCCAAGTCTTTACTTAACTTTACATATCCAAACAGGAAATCAGGAACTGCACCTACCCTGCTGCTCCTTGTAGTTTTACTTTCGCAATCTTTTATATATTTAAAAGGTATACCTTTCTCTGTTGTTGCTGTGTGAAAAACCCACGCAAATAATGGGAAAGCGTCTGTCTGAAACAGGGGAAGGCGAAACTGACTAGAGACAAAGTAAACAATGAAAAATAAAGAGAAATTGTTCTTTCATTTTGGAGAAATCTTATGGGCTCCTTTTAACAAAAGGAGGTAAAGAATGTTTAGGCAGAAGAGTGACTGTTATGTTGAAAGTGATTCGTAACTAGGTCTAATCCTGCTGCTAATCAGGTCAGTGGCAAAACTCCCATTAACTTTAGTAGGAGTTGGCCCCAAAGGTTATAAAACATAGAATATTAGGGTTGGAAGAGACCTCAGGAGGTCATCTAGTCCAACCCCCATGCTGAAGATTAAAAATGTGTGGATTTGTTTTGTCTAACAAGTGTACTTTTTGGGGGTGAGGGAGAAACCCCATCAAAAGGTAGCTGGAAACCCTCTCATTTGAGGTATGGCTATGTTGCAATCAGGAGCAGGGATTGCACCACACATAGGCATGCCCAAGCTAACTTGCTAAAAATAGCAGTGTAGCCACAGTGTCACCGGCTAGCCACCGGAGTCCAGTCCTGCTCCAGACCCTAGGTATGCACTCAGGCAGTTAGCCCATGCCACCACCTGTGCAACCGCCGCGACGCTCCAATTTTTAATGAGCAAGCTTAAGCAAAGCTAGCCTGGGTATGCCTAGGCTTGCTGTCCCAGCTGCAGTGTAGACGTACCATTTCAGGCAAGGGGCATGACTCTGTAATCCGGCAAAGAGCTTTTAATAATTAAGAAGCCCTGCTTCTGGAGCTTGATTTTGAATTGTCCCTCAGTAACAGGTCCTGATATAGACTTTCCAGGGAATGTCAGTGTGCTAGGGGGCAGCATGCCTGTGTGCTTGGTATGGTGCCTTGTTCCAAAATTTCACCTACAGGCACCTCCTCCTTTTCTGCTTGCAGCGTCCCCCTTCCCCCGGCCCCACCATCCCATGCTGTGAATGAGGCTGCAATGTGCAGACGTTCAGTGGTTCCCCCTTAGGAAGGCAATTGCTCAGTCTGCTGTTGTGTCTTTTGGTTTGTCTTTATCAACTCCTGGGAGAGCATTTGTCATATTTCAATAACGGGGAATGAATACTATTTTTCTTTATAGCCATGTCTGGCGAGAACAGGGAGAACACGCTTTTCTATTCGGAAATTCCCAAAACCATAAACAAAGCTGAAGTCCTAATGCTTTCCTGGAAACCCCTTTTGGATCTCTTTCAGGTACGTGAACATGATGACACCTTCTTTCCCTCATGGCAGGCATTCATGCTGCTCAGGCAAGCTGGAGTTATTGCAGTTGTGAGCCACCAACAGGCTGTGCAGTGAATGTCTTAAGGTCTTAAACGTTTTTACTTTCCCTCGTGCTTAGCTAAGCGCTTTACTGTTAAATTTTAAAAAGATCTTATCTTGTCAACTTTTACAAAAGGCTACAACATGCATAAATCATTTTAAAAAAAAATCCTTTTCTGGGTGGTTTCTGCTCCCCCTGCCGGGGTTGTAATTGCTGCATGTAGCTTCCAGCAGATCTGTTGTAGTAATTTTTCTGAAGGAAGAGCAAGGGACTTATTGTAGAAGCCTCACTTCTAATGAGTCCAGGTGACTTCTGATACAGTTGGTTTAAAGGTGTCACAGCTTTTGCCTTCCCCAAAATCCTCCTCTACCAGTCTACTGTATGGCTGCTGTGTCAATGGCAAGACTATGGGAGCCCACAGTGAATACCAATGCAGTGGAGGGGGTTATTGATCAATTGATCCATATACTTAATCCCCCAGCTGCTTCTGGTCCTCATGTTGGAGTTCCGAGCTACACTCAGTAGTGCACAGGTGGTACGTGCCCCTTATGTGGTCTCCCTGTGTCCTTGTCCTTCCCCTCAGCAAACCTGCAGCAGTCCTCTGGTGTGGAAGGGTGGCAGGACTTGCCCCTGTTGCATTAGCTATGACGTGAGCACCCTGGATGTTACCAGTCTGTCCCCTCATGAGGCTGTAGGTCCTACTAAAAATGCTCGTGGTGCTCTCATCCCTCCCAGCTGATCACTGTGGATCTTGGCTCGAGTTAGTTAAACTCTGTGTTACTACTTTTCCTCTCTAGTCACCGCCGACATTTTTAATTCTTTTACAACACGTTCTGTTTGCCTCGTAACCATCGAGCTGCCAGCCAGACATGCCTGGTGTGTGGACGTTGTCTGTATAGCAGTAAAGCACTCACTAGTGATTTGCCGAAAACAAAAATCGACTCTCACTAGGTTTTTGGGTCTGGAAGCAAAAATGGACAAACTGTGCAGCTTTCTGAGCACCATTCCGGCCCAGGTTGCTTCTTTCTCCTAAGGCAGAATCTCCCTAGGCATTTCCAGACGCTTGCTCATTCTAGCGCCTGGTCTGTGCACACAGTTTCCTAATTTTAACGAAAGGGGGGTGAGTTTTAAACTGATTTATTTAAATTGGCGCAATCTTGTATGGATACGCTTTAAATTCATTGAAATCTGGTTTATACTGGTTTAGCTTGCAGCTGTAAGGGCAAGCAAAACCAGTGTAACCAGTTTGTGTGTCCACATTGAAGCTTGCAACAATTTAACTAAATCTCCACAAGAAAGTTAACAGGCTCTATGGATGCTCTTATTTTGGTGTAAGAGCAGCTTATTTTGGTTTTGCTTAAATCAGGGGCGGCCAACCTGTGGCTCCGGAGCCACATGCGGCTCTTCAGAAGTTAATATGCGGCTCCTTGTCTAGGCACCGACTCCGGGGCTGGAGCTACAGATGCCAACTTTCCAGTTTGCCGGGGGCGGAGGGTGCTCCCTGCTCGACCCCTGGCTCTGCCACAGGCCCTGCCCCCCACTCCACCCTTTCCCGCCCCCTCCCCTGAGCCTGCCAAGCCTTGCTCCTTCCCCTCCCCAGAGCCTGCTGCACACCACCAAACAGCTGATCGGGAGTGGGGTGGAGTGGAGCTGATGAGGGGGCTGCTGACGTGTTACTGTAGCTCTTTGGCAATGTACATTGGTAAATTGTGGCTCCTTCTCAGGCTCACGTTGGCCACCCCGGCTTAAATTGATTAGAAGCAGGTTTAAAAAAAAACAAAATGAGCTATTCTTATACTGAACTGAGAGTGTCCAGACAGCCTTTCTGCACCAGTTTGACTGTGTTTAGAACAATTCAAGTTATATAAGTGCAACTTTCTCATGTAGACAAGCCCTAAGTCAAACCAGTGCAACTTGTGCGTAGGCCAGCCCGAGGTCACTTTTGGCTTCCATCCTTCCTTTGAGAAATCAGATCTGAAACCAGCAGGAAGGAACATTCTCCTCTCTTTTCCTGTTCATTGGCTCAAAAGGGTGTATGTAAAACTCCTGAGACAGAATTGGCCTATGTCTGCCCATGCACCGATACTGGGAAAGGGTAGCGCAGATCCTACAAAGAAAATGGCTGTGTCTACGAGGGACATCACAAACGTTTGTTGCCCTGGTTCAAATAAGATCCCCAAAGACTGTTGCGGGGAGACTTCCCAGACTGCTAAAAAGCCAAAGGGGCACTATCTGCTCCTACCCTCTTTTCCACCCAAAGGGACACTATTGATCAGACTCTTACCTCTACCTCATATCAGCAGGACTTCTGCTCAGACAGGGCCTTATTCTGCTCTTGTTCTCCCCGGTGTAAATTGGGACTAACACCATTTAAATTGGTAGCGGAATTACAACCGGCTTTACAATGATGTGAGATCTGAACCTGGCCCAGAGTTACTGGTACGAGGACGGAGACTCAAGAATGAGCAGGCTGCTTGCAGCCAGTGGGATTCTCATTAGATTAACACGTTTCTTTGTTTGCCAGAGATGCTAGAATACGACTCAAGCAGCCAGCCATCTTTGGCTCTTTGGTGCCAGAGAAGATGCTTTCTGTACATGAGAAGACCAAGTAAAAAGTAGAGCGAGCCAGATGAGTTCTCCTCTCTCTCCCTATTCAGGCTTCCCTAGACTACGGGATGTACTCCCGCGAAGAAGAATTGCTGCGAGAGAGAAAGCGCATTGGGACAGTTGGAATTGCCTCTTATGATTATCACAGAGAAAGCGGCACCTTTCTGTTTCAGGCTGGCAGTGGAATTTACCACGTAAAAGACGGCGGCCCTCACGGATTTACTGTGAGTTCAAGTACATTGCTAATCCTTATGTTAATGTACTGTGTCAGGAATTTGTTTGCAGAAGAGTCCAGGCGATGAGATTTGTAGATCAAGCAGCCAGCTCCGGATGTACAAATATGCTGAGGGTCACTGAAATGCGTTCTAGAGATGGGGGCGGGGGGGAATCACGTGAAGTCGACGGCTAGTAATGTTGAGCAGATGGGCGAAGAGGAGAAAGGAATGTGCATAGTAACACTAAATCATAAATCTGGAGACTGTAAAAGTCGTTCCGTGAAATTACTTGTTACAAGGTTTCTACTCATTAGATTGGGCTGAAGAATTGAGTAGAGAACTCTGTGAAAGAGCAGCTGGGGTCACTGCCGCCTAAGTGCTGAAGCTGGACTCCGACTTCCAAGCCAGAGTAATTTCTTTTTAATGTAACAAATGCTTGATGTCAGTCTAATCATATCATCTGATGGATGCTGCTGCATTCTCAGTGGGTTTAGCAAATGAGGCTATTACGTGCTTCAGCCAGGTCATCCATCAGGATGCAATTTTTTAAAGTGCAGTGAGCCTTTGTAAACACGCTGACTTTCTGCTAGTGCTGATGAAAGGTGTCTGTCTTCAGGCTGTTAGTGTGGCATCTGTGGAACCACGCAGTTGGCACAGTGGCAGCAGAAGCTTCCCTACCGGCAGCATGTGGGTATTTTATGTTTTTCTTGGTCAAAAAAGGTTGGATTCTTCTCGCGCTAAGCCCCAGCATTTGAATGCAAGTAGAAGTTGGCTACTGTACCTTCCAGTAACACTTGTATCTGTACTTAATGGAAACCATCCATCTTTTTGGAGATGAACAGAGTAACAGTTTAGCTCCTGTTGTCGATGTGTTTTATATTGCTGTCTAATTCATCTTTTCTTCTTTTAAACAGCAACAGCCCTTAAAGCCCAATTTAGTGGAGACCAGTTGTCCAAACATACGGATGGATCCAAAACTGTGCCCAGCTGATCCAAACTGGATTGCATTTATCCATAGCAATGACATCTGGATTTCTAATATACTAACCAGAGAAGAAAGGAGGCTAACCTTTGTCCATAACGGTAATGCATGTTCAATTTACAATCCAGATCTTTAATCTCTTCAGCTGTGTGTGTGTATTCTCTAGACTAAATTTGGCACTGGCATTAATGGCTTCTATTGAAATTCATGGGAGTTGGCCCTGTTATTCCAGGGCTGAATTTGGCCATCTGTATGTTACGTTCTCTGTGTTTCTTCTGCTGGCGTTGTGGAGCAATTCACTTCCATGTCCATGAAGTCTGGCAAGGTGGCTCATTCTTTGAATGCATCAAAGAAGCTTTTCTCGTTGAACCCAAAGTTTTCCCTTTTCCCCGTGACTGCTTCCTTCAGAATGGAGGCGCTATGAGCTGGGCAGAACTGGAGGAGAATTCCCACCAGTGACTAGACGTGCTGCAGAGCTCTTGGAAGTGATCTAAAGTGCTTCTGACTTGCACACTGGCTTCTGCCTCATGTTCATATAATAATTTCTCTTCCTTTGCTTCCACCCTAACCGCATTTTACAGGTTTCAGAGTAGCAGCCATGTTAGTCTGTATTCGCAAAAAGAAAATGAGTACTTGTGGCACCTTAGCGACTAACAAATTTATCTGAGCATAAGTTTTCGTGAGCTACAGCTCACTTTATCGTGCATCCGATGAAGTGAGCTGTAGCTCACGAAAACTTATGCTCAAATAAATTTGTTAGTCTCTAAGGTGCCACAAGTCCTCCTTGTATTTTACAGATATACCACTGTGTGACTTGGATGAAGGAGCAGGGAAATACCCACTTCCAGGGTGGATAAAAATCAATTAAAAATTAATTATGTTTAAGAGTTAAATACATTCTTCTTTTTAAATTTAAACCCATTAAACATGAAACTGACAACCTGTGTTGAGGCCTTAATTTCCTAAAATCCATATAAATAAATAATGCTGCATTAATAAGCCCTCCTCAAATTTTAAATAGTTTAACGGTGCTGCTTTTTCGATGATATATGGAAGCAGGAGGAAAACATCTTTAACTTTTGAGGTCAACTCAAGCTTTATAAGTAAGTCACAATGTCATGCACTGCATTAAGGATCTATATTATTTTCAGTCTTTACAATGGAATGAATGCTGGTACTGTTTTTACATTTTTCCCAATGTAAGTACTTTCAGTTTCTGTTGTGCAGAAAAGCTTTTTCCGTAGTTACTTTAGCTTTTAGTTAAGCTAGCAGGTGCAAAGAGAATATTTTCTTCATTAGTACTAGTTCATTCAAAGTTGAGAAACTGGTTGGAAGTTGAGAAAGCGGGAAGGCTTGTTTTCCTCTTCCAGTCAATTTATCCTGAGGGTGAGTTTGGCCAACGGTTGGGAAAACACAACTTGGGAGTGTTTTTAGGTGCTGTGGCAGCAGAAGAGCTCGGATCTTGGCTAACTCTTTCTCATGTTGCCTGTTCAGAATTGGCCAACCTAGAAGAGGATCCCAGATCTGCTGGGGTAGCTACTTTTGTGCTTCAGGAGGAATTTGATAGATACACTGGCTACTGGTGGTGTCCGAATGCTGAGCCAAGTAAGTGTGCTAAATGTAATCTGTCTGACAGGCATGAAACGTCACTTTGGAGTGGCTCACGACCAGGAGTGCCTACTTCAGGGCAGGCTCCCCAAACTGGTAGTATGTTCTATAATTAGATTTCACCAGCCTAGTACCAAATGTGATCTCCCAAAGTACAACAATAGTCTTACAATGGAGTCAGAGACAGTCCCCTTAGACACTCCAGTCTAGCTTGCCATGCAGGCAAGCTGAACTATATGATAAATGGTCACTTACACCAAAAATCAGAAAATATTTTGGTTAAACCCAGTCCCAAGAGACCAGTCACTCACCCAGGTTGATTTGCATGCTAGATATCACATCAAAGACAACGCTTGTAGCTAATTCTATAGTAAGCTAACTAAAGATTTATTAGCTAGGAAAAATAAATGAGTTATTGAAAGGTTAAAGGAGGTAAAATATATATACAGGTGAATCGCAGTGAATTCCCAATGGTAACAGAGATGGCATAATTTGCCAGTTTCTCAAAAATCTCTCGGGGCTGCCCAGAATAACTCTGGAGATCGCCATCTTCTCATTCAGTTATTCTGCCCTCATAGAATCCCAACGGGAGATGATGAATTTTTTCTTGGGTCCATATTCATAGTTTCTTCTCACAGAAAACAAGTTGACAGTTTTGTGACCCACATGGGCTCTTTCTTTCATGATCGGAGGATGAGGAATGCATTTAGTTGTTCATCTCCGATCATCACACACAATGGCCACTTGCTTTGAAATGCACTGGAATTAGCACCTTCCCGCTATAGTCCTTCATTTACATTACTTGAGGCTTCTTTCTATTTGATGGGTTACCTCCTTGCAGGTGTATATACAATGCAAATGTTTGCTGTTACCTTATAACATGGGGTGTAATTGGGTGAGAACAATACATGCGGCATCCCACAAGCATTTTATAAAACACTAAGCACATTCTTATCAACTTAACATCTAATATTTATTTTGATAATGCGAACACGCAGATAGGCAAGACTGGTTTCTGGCTATACGTTTGTCAGTGCTCAGTCAGGCCTGGGCTGGCACATGGTCTGCCAGTGTCACAGACTTTCTCTAGAAATTGGGTGGAAATGACTTCAACGCCTCTGCCTAATTTCACTTCCTGCTTCTCAGCCCACTTTGCGGTATGACCCTCTGTTTGTAACTTCACAACAGTTTGCTGCTTAATGCATGATGCCCCAGACAAAACCATGATTTCAGAGGGGGAGAGAAGGAAATGAGCTCTTAAGGCTGAAGATTTGCTTTTAGGCAAGTGTCCCTATAGTAATATTGGAGAAAAGAACAAAGGGAGGGGAGTACGTACAATATATAGCAGAAGGGCTAATCTCTCTCTGTTTTTCATGAGAGGTCAGCTCATGCTCTGGAGATGTAGCCTGGAAAGAAGAGCTTTTTACTAACCCATGTGATAACAGCATTTGTAAGAGATTCATGATTGTTTGGTGTAGTGAAAGGTCGAATACAGTTTACTGGATAGTTGGATCATGTGGTATACGATATAACTTCCCCACTAGTACCCAAAGGAACATAGAATCATAGAATATCAGGGTTGGAAGGGACCCCTGAAGGTCGTCTAGTCCAACCCCCTGCTCGAAGCAGGACCAATTCCCAGTTAAATCATCCCAGCCAGGGCTTTGTCAAGCCTGACCTTAAAAACCTCTAAGGAAGGAGATTCTACCACCTCCCTAGGTAACGCATTCCAGTGTTTCACCACCCTCTTAGTGAAAAAGTTTTTCCTAATATCCAATCTAAACCTCCCCCACTGCAACTTGAGACCATTACTCCTCGTTCTGTCATCTGCTACCATTGAGAACAGTCTAGAGCCATCCTCTTTGGAACCCCCTTTCAGGTAGTTGAAAGCAGCTATCAAATCCCCCTTCATTCTTCTCTTCTGCAGGCTAAACAATCCCAGCTCCCTCAGCCTCTCCTCATAAGTCATGTGTTCTAGACCCCTAATCATTTTTGTTGCCCTTCGCTGGACTCTCTCCAATTTATCCACATCCTTCTTGTAGTGTGGGGCCCAAAACTGGACACAGTACTCCAGATGAGGCCTCAACAATGTCGAATAGAGGGGAACGATCACGTCCCTCGATCTGCTCGCTATGCCCCTACTTATACATCCCAAAATGCCATTGGCCTTCTTGGCAACAAGGGCACACTGCTGACTCATATCCAGCTTCTCGTCCACTGTCACCCCTAGGTCCTTTTCTGCAGAACTGCGGCCTAGCCATTCGGTCCCTAGTCTGTAGCGGTGCATTGGATTCTTCCATCCTAAGTGCAGGACCCTGCACTTATCCTTATTGAACCTCATCAGATTTCTTTTGGCCCAATCCTCCAATTTGTCTAGGTCCTTCTGTATCCTATCCCTCCCCTCCAGCGTATCTACCACTCCTCCCAGTATTGCTGTGTGCGATACATTTCACATTCAGCACAGCTGTAATAATATATGTATTTGTTCCTTTCTAGTTGTCACTGGAGGCAAAATTCTTAGGATTCTTTATGAAGAAAACGATGAGTCAGAGGTGGAAATTATTCATGTCACATCCCCCATGCTGGAGACCAGGAGGACGGATTCCTTTAGATATCCCAAAACAGGTGAGACCATTGCTGTCTTCTCTCCTCTTTCCCCTGTCTCATCGCCTGGGATGCTCTCATTGTATTCCTCTTGTTTTATGGCAATGCCCAGCCTAGCCTCCAAAGACAAGGTTCTATGAATGGTGCTGCCCGTGTGGCTCCTTTAATTGAGTGCTGTGCTTGTGGACTGAATATGGCTGGGGCAACAGCCTCCATGGAGGTCAGACTACTCACTTGCGGCCGTGCCAGCTTTCCGGCTACAATGTGGTGTTGGTCCTAAGTTCACTGCTGAACCTAGGTCTCTCGTGAGTTGGCCACACACTGTGTCCTCCCTCTTTTGGAGCTGCTGTCATGTTTATCTGACAGTGTGGCCTTGTTTCTCTTTGCAGCATCTCAGTGTGAACTCTGCAGAGTGATCAGGTTTCACTGAGGGTTTTGTATTTAGCTGCTGGCAGTACACTAGTGATGTGGCATGGGGGTTAGGAGCATTTGGTGCTCTCTTTCTGCTTAGAGCCTGGGCCACAGACTGTGTGTGCTCCTGACCCAATGTTACAGCTAGTGGTCCTGTCACTGCCCCTGGAATGGCAAGAGTAAGTGTCTCCAGCAGCCAGGCTTGGGTTTTTATAGACACTGTATTGCAGCAGGAGGGTGGGAAACAAATATTGTTGGACACTGGCGTACTGAGATATTTGGAAGTGGGTAGGCAGAACTGACCTGTAGGCGTGTGGAGAGATAACTTACAACTGCGTGTGAAGATCGTGCTGCAAGTCTAAAGAGGTCAATATCTGTTCTGGAGAGCTGCTGCTCTTCTAGCAGGTTATGCAGTTTCACTCGATGCCTCCTCCTCTCCCTAAATCTCAGATGTGTCTGTTACTTCTTCTTTGACCTGAATTCCATGCCCTCCATAGACAGCACATTTAGGGTAATCAGCGTCTTCGCTTTTTTCATTTCTATATGAACTGAATTTCAGAATTATCGGAAACCTGGGTGTGTCCTCCTGGAGGCAAACACATTGTCTGTTGCACCGTTTGTGTGTGACTGCTAACACCTGTCTGTTTTATAGGTACAGCAAATCCAAAGGTCACTTTCAAAATGTCAGAAATAACAGTTGATGCTGAAGGAAGAGTAAGTTTTAAGGTTCATTTATCTCCTACATTAATTTGACATTTATGACTTTTTAGTTAATTAGTATCTCATGTCAAAGCAAACAGACTTCTTTGATGCGCAATTGTCAAATTTTAATCTGTAGATCAGTGTTTCAAACAGGATAGGCCCGTTCTAGTGTCAGATACCTGGTGTGTGTGTGTGTGTGTGTGTGTGTGTGTACACATACGTGCACACACTGTACCTTGGTGAGGTTATTCCAGTGTCACTGAATTGCTGTTGTCTTCAACAGATTGTAGCTGTCATGGATAAAGAACTAGTGCAGCCATTCGAGATCCTGTTTGAAGGAATAGAGTATATTGCAAGAGCTGGGTGGACTCCAGAAGGAAAATAGTGCGTATGTTAAACCTGTCTCTGCTTACAGGGGTTGGGGTGATACAGTTAGAAATGGGCTGTTTTGGGCTCTGTCTTTCTTTCTGGCATAAGCCTGCTCTTGTTTATGCATCGCTCCACCCTGGTTTGAGTGAAGGGGATGGGGGCACTTCTTCAAAATCAAAGAGAGTCAAATCAGTCTCTGGTATTTATCTGACCCAGTCACCATAGTAGCTGAGCATCTCACAGTCTTTTCAATGTATTTATCCTCCCAATCAGTGTCCCCTCTGTTTTGTTTTGTTTTTTTCCATCCATGTGCAGAATGAATTTTGTTACATGCACCAATATCGAGATCATGTGTGGATGTGTGCCTCCAATAGAAGCAAAAAACCTAGATATAATATGTATTTTTAATAAGTTACCATAGGCGTGATAACTCCAGCCAGGACAGATTAGGCATCTGAGAACTCACTACTTAAAGAATTAAATTTAAGCATAAGAGAGAAATAAAATTATGAAATGCACAGACCAGTATAAAAACTAAAATAACAGCACTTTGAAAGAATAAAATTACAGAGAATATATGTGCTTTGCAGGAAGTACCAAAAAGTATCAACAATAACACTAGTATGTGTTGGGAAGTGAGTGTGAAAGAGACTGTCTGTGAGAGAGAGAGACAGAGACTGTGTGTGTATGCTGGCTGCTGGGGAAGTCTATGAGAGACCATGCGCTATCTCTTTAAGCACAGCAGCACTCACCAGAAGGCTCGTTCAGACCGCAGCAGCTGCTAGAAACTCCATTCTGCTCCTGAGCCCTGTCCTCCCACCCCTGCTCTGTGGAGGTGGGGTACCTGGTTGGTGGGAGGCGAACACCCTGACATCAGCAGCCCACCTCTGCTCTGCACGGCACAGCAAGCCAGAGGGTTCTGGGAGCAGCTGGTCAGGGGCTTCAAGGCAGAGGGCAGGAGCAATGTGGCTGCAGAGCAGCGGTGGGGAGGGGCACTTAAGCACACGTCGCTAGATGTGTGCGGCACTTGATTGACTCTTGGGTGGTCGTGTGGCTTGGAGGGAACACAGCTCCCAATCCCTCTGGGAGGCAGGGCAGTGATGATACCCCCATTTACAGATGGGGAATTGAGTGCTAGAGAGACTGTGAGACTTGCCCAGGGTCACAGAGGCAGTCTGTGGATGTGGAGACGATTGAACCCAGGGCTCCCAAGTCCTAGGTTAGCACCTGAACCACTGGGCCATGGTTGCTGACCAAACTCATTGGTCAGAAACCCCACTGTAAGTGCTAATTACATTTACATGAAACTTTTAACCCTAAAGACAAGGTGGTGCAGTGTTTCTAACTCACAAGAATTGTACTTATCCCACCTCTTGGATCAAAAGCTGACATTCTCCTTTTAACATTTTTTTTTCATGGAAGAAATACAGGAGCCCGCTTCCTGTGTTTGCTTGGCTTCCTACAGAAATGTTAACAAGGCTACGTGGATAACAGGCTGATTGGATCCACTGGAGAGGACACTGTCAAGCCATTTAAGCTTCAGAATAATTTTTTTAAGCATCCAAGAAGACTAGAAATATCTTCACAAGTGGCTTTTAAATTTCAGTTTACAAACTTCTGCTTCCTCCTTCCCTTTAGATTTTTCTTTTCTTTGCTCCTCTTTCCACATTCTGCAGAATCCAAATCTGGTAACATTAGAGATAGTTGAGCTTTTGAAACCACAGGGTTTGAGTGGGGCTGAAATCAGGCAAAACTGGTTTTTCTACCCCTACTTCAGAGCTGACGTGATTCTTTGAAATGCTAGAGTGAAAATTTGTTTTACCTGGCCAAAGTTAAAGGGATCTTCTAACTGGACCTGAAATTGACCATTCTTGATGCCACCAAAATGCTTGGTGTTATTAAGAGTCAAATAAAATTCTGCTGTCTAATACTTAAAAGAAATGCACTCATAACTATTCATATTTTTTTCTGCAATAGTGCCTGGTCCATCTTGCTGGATCGCTCCCAAACACGGCTACAGATAGTGTTGATCTCCCCTGCATTATTTATCGCAGTAGAAGATGATGCTATGGAAAGACAGAAGCTAATAGACGCTGTGCCAGACTCTGTTACACCACTTACTATTTATGAAGAAACAACAGATATCTGGATAAATGTAAGAATTTTATTTTTTACTCTTCCAACAGTATGCAGTTATGGGCACTATTTGTCACACGGTTCATGGCATTGATATTATTTGCATTACTGTAGTGCCTAAAGGGTGCAATCAGGGTAAAGGTCTCCATTGTGGTAGGTGCTTTACAGACACAGTAAGAAAAGGAGTACTTGTGGCACCTTAGAGACTAACCAATTTATTTGAGCATGAGCTTTCGTGAGCTACAGCTCACTTCATCAGATGTTTACCGTGGAAACTGCAGCAGACTTTATATACACACAGAGAATATGAAACAATACCTCCTCCCACCCCACTGTCCTGCTGGTAATAGCTTATCTAAAGTGATCAACAGGTGGGCCATTTCCAGCACAAATCCAGGTTTTCTCACCCTCCACCCCCCCACACAAATTCACTCTCCTGCTGGTGCTAGCCCATCCAAAGTGACAACTCTTTACATAATCAAGTCGGGCTATTTCCTGCATAGATCCAGGTTTTCTCACATCCCCCCCACCCCCATACACACACAAACTCACTCTCCTGCTGACACAGTGTAAGACAGTCCCTGCCTTGAAGAGCTTGCAATATCGACCAACCAGGAAAAGGTTAGGGAAGCAGAGAGGGCAAATGATGTCCAAAGTCATGTGGCAGGACAGTGGCAAAGTTTGGACTAGAACCCATCCATCACCCAATCTATTAGACTACACTGTCTCTCCGCTTTGCATTATATTAGACTCAGGCTCCTCTTAGATCTTTCACTGACAGCAGATTTCAACAGACTGTTGCTACTGGAGCACAGTATATCTTCTAGAACTAAGCACGGAACCAAAGAGCCCACATGATTATCCTAATCACAATTATCTAAAACCATCTTTTACCTAAAACAGTTATGTCCCTCAGTGTCTATTAATCACGTTGAAAATTCCCTCATTTATTAAAATTATTCACTGTTCCTCACCCTCTTACCTCTGTAAGGTTTGCCAATTGGGGCTGTCCTATATAATAGGTCCATAGAATGAAGTTGGGTGAATCCCTATGCTACGGTATAACATACATCTTCTGCACCTGTCTGCGCTGGATCAGTGAGAAGTAATAGGTTTCAGAGGAACAGCCGTGTTAGTCTGTATTCGCAAAAAGAAAAGGAGGACTTGTGGCACCTTAGAGACTAACCAATTTATTTGAGCATGAGCTTTCGTGAGCTACACTGATGAAGTGAGCTGTAGCTCACGAAAGCTCATGCTCAAATAAATTGGTTAGTCTCTAAGGTGCCACAAGTCCTCCTTTTCTTTTTGAGAAGTAATAGTTGCACAGGGACTCCATTGTGGTCCAAGTCCTATCAATAGCCATGAACAAACTGCTTTGTTTCTGCAGATCCATGATATCTTCCATGTTTTCTCTCAAACCCGCCAAGACGAGATAGAGTTTATTTTCGCCTCTGAATGTCAAACGGGGTTCCGGCACCTGTACAAAATCATCTCAGTTTTGAAGGAGAGCAGATACAAGCGATCATGTGGAGGTCTCCCTGCTCCAAGTAAACAATACCACTCTCTCTCTTTAACTGGGCAGTTGCCACTGAATATTGGTGAAGTAACTGCAGCCACTTCCAGAGGGCAGGACAGATCTCTTCCTCCCTCCCTAGTGTAGACTGGCCCCCATCCAGCAGAGTTTTGGAGCATTTACATCATCATAATCCCTAGCTTTTATATAGCACTAGTCTCCTTGACATCACTGGGTCTACTCACTGGCTCAGCGTTGCACGTATGCTTGTAGCAGGAGGAAGGATGGCACAGATAATTCTGTATGTAACGGGCTTCAGTTTTAATCATGGTTCTTTTTCATTAACAAGGGGGGAGATTTTTCAGAAGCACAAATGGAAATTAAGTGCCCACATCCCAGCTCGAACTGAGAAATATGCTCTGTTGGCTTCTTTTTTGGTCAAGATAAAAGATTGGTTTATTGACATACTGTCCTGGTCTTGCAGATTAACCAGTCTAGTAGTAATGTGGGTCATGTCCAAAGGGAGAAATAAAGTGTGTGAAATCTGTGGTCTCCACGTAGTAAAGCTCTTTGGTGCACAGGGCTGTGCACAGACTGTTGGCATGTAATGTGTAAAAATAACAACACTCTCCTTTCTGCCTCTAGGCACAGATTTCAATATAAAGATTTAAAGTAAAGAACACACCACACTGTAGAAAGATGTGCCTTGGGTTTCATGCCTAGAAATATTGAATATCTGATTGGGGCCAAAAATTGGCCTGTTTTTAGGGTGGGGAAGGGAATAAAGACCACACCACTATACCCAGCGTGCTGGCTCTAACAAAGACTATTCATGGTGCTGTGTCCATTATAGCAGGCATCGGGGAGGCTGCTGCTTGGACAGATGCTAACAGAATGTTGGGAACCATTAGGAAAGGGATAGATAATAAGATAGAAAATACCATAATGTCCCTATATAAATCCATGGTACACCCACACCTGGAATACTGGTGTGCAGTTCTGGTCACCCCATCTCAAAAAAGCTATATTAGAGTTGGAAAAAGTTCAGTGAAGGGCAACAGAAACGATTAGGGGTATGGAACATGTGAGGAGAGATTAACAAGACTCAGACTGTTCAGCTTGGAAAAGAGACGACTAAGGGGGGATATGATAGAGGTCTATAAAATCATGAGTGGTATGGAGAAAGTGATTAGGGAAGTGTTGTTTATCCCATTAGATAACACAAGAACCAGTGGTCACACAATGAAATTAACAGGCTGCAGGTATAAAATAAACAAAAGGAAGTATTTCTTCACGCAACGCCCAGTCAACCTGTAGTACTCATTGCCAGGGGATGTCGTGAAGGCCTAATGTGTAACTGGGTTGAAAAAAGAATTAGATAAGTTCATTGAGGATAGGTCCACAAATGGCTATTAGCCAAAATACTTTAGGTGTTCCTGAGCCCCTGACTGCCAGAAGCTGGGACTGGACGACAGGAGATGGATCACTCAATAATTGTCTGTTTTGCTCATTCCCTCTGAGGCACCTGGCATTGGCTACTGTCAGTAGACAGGATCCTGGGCTAGATGGGCCATTGGTCTGACCCAGTGTGGCCGTTCTTAAGTTTTTATGGCAGAGAAATTAACAGAAGAAGAATACTGGCAGCTGCTGCAAATGGAAACACAGGAACACTCAGTTCAAATAAAATAAAGTTAATTGCATGGTTAGGTCAAACTTTGGCCCAGGCAGGTGTATGGTACAGTTATGTACAGAACCCTTGCACATCTTGCTACACTGACTATTCTTTCAGTTAAACTCCTATATTGCAACCTGTGCCTGGAGGCAGTTACAATACTATTGATCTATTTGCTGTGTGAGGACAGCATGCTAAGCCCTGCATACTAAAGAAAGATGCATCTCATTTTACTAGTTATAGCATCCCAGTGTCAGGCAGTTGATTTTTCCAGAAGGCAAAATCCCCTTTTGAAATAAAACTCATTATTCCTATAGTGGTTAAACACCTAGTAACTGTTCTAGTGGTGTTGGTCTGTCTAGCCTGACTTCCTACCTCTGAAAGTGGCAAATTGCTCATGTTTCTGAGGAAGGCAAGATTCCATTTAACATAAAGCTGTGTGTAATGTTCTTGGGGAAATTGGAAAATCTTGACATTTCAGAGTTTTACTCTTCAATTTGATTTTTGCAAAATCCTTCAACTTTGCAGCTTCACACAAAATAGAACTTCCTTTTGAATGAAAGTGAGCCAACCTGATAAACATGGTGCTATTTTTTCCAGAAAAATCCCTCATTTTTAACACCTTACCTTTACCAATTCTATAGATCAGGTTTCACATATTTCAGTTTGAAACCTGCCTTTCTGTGCAAGTGTGATGGGAAAAGGAAACACTGAAGGATGCAGAACAAGATAGGGAGAACCTGTTGAATTGAGAATTCTTGACATTTTCCCCAGTATGTTAGTGATCTCTTCCTGGAACACTCGGGCCAGCTGTGTAACGCTGTGCTCGAGAGTGGCAGGGGAGTGATTCTTTCCCAAGCCCAGTTTGTGACTCGGTTAAAGCAAGCAAAGCCTGAAAGGTGAAGTTCTATTTGAGAGGCTTTGTTGTGATGAAAAGTATAAAATCTCTAATTGTACATGTTTTGTTTATAGGTGACTTCAAATGTCCCATCAAAGAGGAATTAGCAATTACCAGTGGAGAATGGGAAGTACTTGGTAGACATGGTTCCAACGTATGTCCCTTTATTTTACTTTTCTTGAATGAAGATCTGTATCTGTAAAATAGCCTGGGTTAAACTCTGGATAAGATAACAAACAAAATTAGTTAGGTCCTAGAGTTCGTCATGGGCCTCCTGGTTATCTTGCCAGACTACACAGCTACCCTCTTCTGACTACAGAGGGCACCAGTCATGTCTAAGGAACAGCAAGGTGAGGATCTAGATAGAATGGTAGAGCTGTATGGAGGACACCTCAGTTTATCTGGTGTTATGCAAGACTATATGATCATGATGATCCCTTCTGGCCTTAAAACCTGTGAATTTGATCTTGGTGTTGTGCCTGCCAGAGCATCTCACTAAGCGGGAAACAGCTCTGGGAACAATCTGGGGACTCTCTTCTTAGGGGAATGACCTCTCATGTGTTGAAGGTCACACACTTGGTTCTGGAGGCAGGGGAGAAGGTGCAGGCTGGACACTCCTCATGTAGCTCTGCTCTGGTGTCTTGGCCATGCAGCCCACTCTTTGTGAGAGGAGAGATGCGCCCGTATTGTCTTTTCTGTGAAGAGCAGGATTGCTGAGAGGCTGAGAAAAGGAAAAGCTGCCTGGAATGGCTTGAGGTCTTTCAGCTGTCCAGGCCCAGGTTGTGACCTTTCTGTTTGCTGAATAAAAAGTGCTATTTGCAAACTCCTTAATTTCACCCCCGTACTCAGACCTCTCACATCAGAAAATTAACATGGAAATCCACATAACTGCAAACATATATGATGCAGCAGAGGTGCAAGAGATTGTAGGGGACCTGGAAACTGAGTTACCTTCTCTCACACATGGGGTGTCTCTTGAGGTCAGGTTTGGGGCAACACGGAGAAACCTGCCCAAGCTTCTATTCATTTCTGGGTTAAACTCACCCCTGTACAAAGAGCCAGCGTGAGGGCTGTGCTTCACATCTGTTCGCCTTTCAGGACTAGGCACTCTTTAGCCACTAAAGCCCAATGGAAGGCTGTGGGTGCGGACAGCCTGCCTGGGGAGAATAGTACCCTAGCGAATTAATAGAGGAACTGGGTCTCCAGTCAAGCTGCAGCTTTAAGCACAAAAGTGGGGGTGGTTGATTGGCTCAGCTGGTGAGCAAAAGTAGCCAGTGCTGCTTTGCTTTTAATGTTAGCAAAGGTGCAGCTTGTCCTCTGAGCTCATTATTTAACTCACCATTCCAGCCCTGAGTCTCTGGTTTCGATAATGGAGATGAGCAGCACAGAGAGGCATCTCTAGCTGATGATTTCTTTTGCTTTGTGCTCTTTGTTTCTCAGGAGTTTGCCACTGTCTAGTAAAGAGGCTCATAATGAAGTATGGACCTGTAGGGAGGTGGAGGGGGGAGAGAAGTAGCATCGCAGGTAGATGGAAGGAACATTTCCAAGCATCCCATGAGAAGTAGGATGGAAGGGCTGAAGCCCCAGCATCCAGCTGCTGTCCTGTATCTGAGGACTCTTTTTTTCAAAGGGATTAACACACACCTGGGCAGCACTGCTCTCTTTTCAGCTTTGGCCTCTTCTTTCTCCTTTTTATGGAGGCCCAATATTTGTGTCTCCAGGTCCACTTTTGAGACTTTGCATGGAATTCCTCCTGCTAGGATAAAATACCCCCTACTTTCTAATTGCTTCTTTTTTTAAATGTTAAAGAGTTTGAGTGAGCGATGTCTGTGGCTACTCAGATCTGACCATGTTTCTCTGTTATCTAAAAAAAATAAACCATAAGCGTGAGTACATTGAAATGAGTTGAGTAGAGCTGAAATACTTGTAGTTTATGTAAGGGACAGCAATCTTGGTAACACAACTATTTCAGTTTGGAGACAGTTTTTGCTGCAATTGGTGGCTGGGCCACTAAGAAAAAATATACAACCGCTCATTAAAATCAGCAGCTGTACTCTAGGATGGGGGGGATATAATTGTCTTGCCTGTTTTTGAAAAAGATACATGGGGTGATCATGGTTTTATAGGTCAATCAGCTTTACTTGAGCACCAGGGAAATTGGTTGCAATAATTACTAAAAATAGTTACAGGACACCTGGATTAGTATGATCAGTGGTCTAACCAGCTTGGCTTCTGTAAAAGAAAACAATTCTCTGAATTACTAGAATTCTTTGAGTGTCAATAAAAGAGTAGATCAGAGAGAACCAGTTGACAGTTGTTTGGACCTTCAAAAGGTCTTTGATAAAGGCCCTTCCAAGAGATTATTAAGGAAGCAAAGTAGTCATAGGGTGAGAGATGAACTGTTATGGATCAGAAACTGTTTCCTGTTATATAGTCAAAAAGTAGGAAAAAATGGTCAATTTGTACCATGGCAAAAGGTTTAAAGACAGGTGCCCCCATGGTTTCATGCTGGGGCTTCTGTTTGTGAAATATATTTATTAATAATATGGGAAAGGGAGTGAACAGTGAATTGGAGAAATTTACAGGTGACACAGAATTATTTAGGATAATCAAGACCAGAGAAAATAAGGAAGGTCAGAGGGACCTGACAGACCTGGGAAACCAGGTAGCAAGGTAGCAAATGAAATTTAGTGTTGACAAATGGAAAGTTGTGTGTATTGGAAGGGCTAATTTGAACTAGCTCTGTCCATTGCTGGGCTCTAAATTGACTGTAATCACCTTGGGAAATGGGGACGGAGAGTCCTGGGCATCATTGTGGGGATAGCTCAGTGATTTGGCTGGTACAGACTGAGGTTGTGTTTGGGGTTTGTTTGTTTTTTTTTGGCAGATCCACGTGGATGAAGCAAAAAAACTGGTGTATTTTGAAGGCACAAAGGATTCCCCTTTAGAGCATCACCTGTATGTCGTTAGCTACAAGAATCCTGGAGAGGTGAAGCGACTGACGGACCGTAGCTACTCTCACGCCTGCTCCATGAGTCAGGTATCTGTATTCCGAGGGACCCTCTTCTAGGGAAGGGCTGTGCTTGGTGGTTTTTGTCACACCTTGCGCTAGCTGTGTTCAGATATATGGAAGTTGGCTTCAGCTTTTTTTAAATCTGTTATAAAACCCGTGAGTGAAGGGATGGGGGCATATATTAGCAACTGCAGAAACCAGACCTCTGGGTGTGCAACCTGGCGAATGGCAAGAATCAGTGCCAACTTGCAGACATAGACTAATGCCACCGCTAATTTTGCAGGTGCATTTTTCAGTGTCTGGCAGAAAATTTGGAATATTAACATCCTAGTGGCTACTATGCTGCCTGTAACTGAGTAAAACTGCAGCTCCTAAGGCTATCTCCTCTCTCACAAGAGCTGGGACTCCTAATTTTTATTTGATCCGAGCTTCTTCAGAGAGCTCTAAGTGCACAAGTAAGGAGCTTTGGGCTCGTGTTTCTTCACTGTGTTGTTCAAGAAAATATTGTCATCTCTGTGTAGGACTGTGACATGTTCATCAGTAAATTCAGTAACCAGAAGAACCCGCACTGTGTGTCACTGTACAGGCTGACTGGTTCTGAAGATGATGTTGCTCACAGAAAGAAGGAATTCTGGGCCACGATTCTAGATTCGGCAGGTAATCGCTTCGGCTCTCCTTTACAGTTCTGCCTCAAAGATTCCCAATCACAAGACTCCTAGCTACATGTTTATTGTAGCATCAGTACTCTGTGTTCCTCTTCATGGGCTAAATCATGGTGCTCTTACTCCTGTGGGAATGTATGACGAGCAAGGATTGCTGGATCGGCCTTTGGTTTTGTGCTGGCGTCTGGAAGGGGTAGCTGGCCGTAGTATTCAAGTCTGTTATAAGTTTGAATATATTGCTGGGCCTTATCAACAAAACACTTGTTGTTTTGTAAGTGCTGTTCCAAACCATTTGAAGGGTACAGGGCTAATAGGACGTGTACTCAGAAAACTCTTAGATTTGAAGGGGGCGTCCCCGCAAGTTTTGTACCTTGTGGATGACCAAAGGCTGCTCTTTATTTTGGAGCTTGTTGCAGATAATGATGTGCATAATTAGCTCCTGGGCTGGTTAACAACCTGCATGGCCAAGTGGCGTTTAGGCGATGAGTTAAAATCTGCTGTTTCGCTGCTGTCCATCCGGAGCCCATGCTGAGAGACTAATGGAGTGATTCTTAGCGTACGCTGATGTGACAGCTGAATTTGGCTCAATGTGCTGTACTTTGGTCAGAAGATGATTTCTTTCATTGAGCTGCTCCTTCTCTACCAGCTGCCTGCGTGCAGGAGGGGGAGTCTCAGTTCCGACTCAGACGCACAGATCATGCCTCCGACGCTCCTCACCCACAGTGCCTTAGCCAAGGTAACTGTAAGAAACTGGCTAGGGCAGAACAACACCTAGGGATCTGAGTTAAAACTAATTGTTCATAGAGAACATGGACTGAATGCATACTTTTTTTTTTTTTGCGTAACGCAGGAAGTTTTCTCTGTTTCATAATCATCTTAAATGTATTTTAGAAGCAGGTGATTCCAATAGTGCCCCACTCTCCCCTGCAGAAAAATTATGCTAATTTTGTTTCTTGCTTGAAGATTATCAGCTCAGTTAAGGGAGTCTTGTCCAGCTGCAGCTTCTCCGTTCTGGGACCCGAGCTAGCTTGTTTAGACCTAGCTCAAGTAAGTCAGCTCAAGTGGCGAGCACATTCTGAGAGTGCAGTGTAGACATCCAAAAAGAGTTGAAGAGTTCACCCCGGCCCTGCTGCGGTTGAAACCTTCCTAGAGTGCATCTAGCACAGGATCCCTGACTCAGAACATTTTCTGTGAATGAGAACCTTACTAGCTAGTAATGGGCCTAATGAAAACCCACAGATCCAAACATCCCTGAACTCTGTGAGGGTTTGGACCTGCACTGGACCTACGTGTTGCAGACATTCCAGTGTTAAGTGTGCTGTAGACAAAATTAAACCCCTTCCCCTCCTTCCTGTAGTGCCAGCTTCCTCTCAGTGACTTTTTAACACAGTTCTTGGGAGATGGGGGACCTGGAAGAAATTGCATTAGAACTATGCCAGAAACACGTATGTACATGACGAACAAAACTCTTATAGTGGACTCTTCAATCTAGCGGACAAAGGTGTAGCATGATCAAATGGCAGGGAATTGAAACTAGACAGATTTAGACTAAAAATAGGGGACAGATCTTTAACATTGAGGGTAATTAACCACCGGAACGATTTACTTAAGGGTTGTAGTGAAGTCTTCATAACTGGCAGTTTTTAAATCAAGATTAGATGTTTCTCTAAAAGATGTGCTATAGTTCAAAAAAGAATTAATCCAGGGAAATCCTATGGCCAGTGCTATACTGGAGGTCAGACTAGATGATCACAATGGTCCCTTCTGGCCATAAGACACATGACAACAATCCTGCCTCACGCTGGCATCATCTGTAGTGTGGGCAGGGTTGTGAGCTCCCTCTGTCCATCAGGTCCTTGTTAAAATGGGCCCATTTCTTCTTGCCTGCCTGCAGGTCCTCTTCCCGACTATGTTCCCCCGGAAATCTTCTCCTTTGAGAGTTCCTCAGGCTTTACACTGTATGGCATGATGTACAAACCTCACCACCTACAACCTGGGAAGAAATACCCCACAGTGCTCTTCATATATGGAGGGCCGCAGGTGAGCGCAGTGTAATAGAGGCTGATAGAAATACCTGCTAATTTTTGTTTCTTGTACTTGCTGTTCCTGAGCTGGGACTGGGGGGCCGGGGGTTGACCCTGAGTGACTATGAAACGGACTTAAAGCATTTTCTGTAACTTCATTTTACTGGTGGGGGAGAAATGCACACCGTCTTCAAGGTAGTACGGTCGGAGGGATAAATCTAATGTGGGACAGCAGCCTTGCAAATCACCATGAGGATTTACCATCCCAGGCACAAAACGATTTACCTGGGCCCTGGAAAACCCAATATTTCATATACCTGGGAGCAGGGAAAAACTCTCCTTGGATGAGGGGGATGAGTAGAATTTCGGAAGGCTGCTGAGCAGCACTGAACCTGATCTGTGAGTCTCAAGGGGAAGACGTTGGGCAGGCTAAGGGAGGAGAACCGGTTGGCCCTTATCCCTACAGAGGAGAACTCGGTATCACTGCACACGTGCATAAAGAGAGGTGCGAAGACAGGGCTCCTGGCTTTGTCGCAGCACCCACAATGAGGGGGTGAATTCAGTGTGTGCGTAACTTGAGCTGAGACACTGGGGACATTACCAAACAATCCTGAATCTCATTAAGAGATGAGCAGTCAGTTCTATAGCTTGTAGCCCCTTTCACTTATTTCCAGTGGTCAGTCTGATGTTGCTCTGTTAATATTTCCAGTTGTCTTTTTCCAGGTGCAGCTGGTGAACAATCGGTTTAAAGGAATCAAGTATTTTCGCTTGAACACGCTGGCCTCGCTGGGTTACGTAGTTGTTGTAATTGACAACAGGGGATCCTGCCACCGAGGGCTTAAGTTTGAAGGTGCCTTTAAATACAAAATGGTAAGTGGTGGGATGTATGCCAGTGTCCCAATGTGGTTCTGAGCAATGCAGCCTGCTCCTTGGCTTTCAGATGGGGAGCCGGGGGGAGCGAGTCTTGGTGTGTCATCCTACAGAAGAAGGCTAATGTGCTAGCTTGCCGTAGTACTCTGGCAGTGGTTCGTGTGCTTCTTACACAAAACTGTAGAGCCTTCCATTCCCTGGGCTTGTGAGGGGGGTGGACACATCCAGCTGGTATGTAACTGGGCAGGAAAACGGATCGTGAGAGAGGATATAAAATATATAAGGGATCTAACCGGCTATAAGCCAACCTCTGACATGAGCGAGTTAGTCTCTAACTTTCCACTGTGGAATTTCTGAACGTGCTCCTGCTGACCATGCAAAAGTGGGATACCTTCAGACAGACAATGGATCGCTGCACTAGGGGCATGGCGATTCCTAGGGTCCTGTTTGTAGAGGAAACCTGCTCAGCCAGCTATGGAGAGGAAGGAAGTGCCATCTTTGTGTTGCTCTGCAGGGATGATGTGCATGTGTTTTGAGGGGGGCAGTTGTGCCAGTTTGATGCACAGAGCCAGAATCTGGCCCTAGATATTGTAGAGGAATTTGTCTCTGAGGTTGAGGAAGTCCCCTTTCCACAAACAAGAACACCACAGACCAGAACACCACACCTGTGAACATTTCCCCTGAGGAAGCTGAGCGGGGTGGAGGGAATGTGTCCTTACATGCCCTCTGGGGAAGGAGCAATCCTTTGGTTCTGTGTTTGTGCAGCACCTTGCCCAGTGGGGGCCCAATCCTGGGATGGGGCTCCTAGGTGGTACTGCAGTAGAAATCATTAATCATAATATTCAAAGGTGATTGTTTTTTGGAAACTCTGAGAATCTTACTTTTGTCAAGAACTAACAAAAAAAAAAAACTTTATCCAACAGGGTCAAATAGAAATTGATGACCAAGTGGAAGGGCTGCAGTATTTAGCATCCCAGTATGACTTCATTGATTTAGACCGAGTTGGCATTCATGGCTGGTCCTATGGAGGATACCTGTCTCTGATGGCATTAATGCAGAGGTCAGACCTCTTCAGGGTACGTTAATGTATCGTGGGCTTATCTCTGTGGCACAGGAAGGATGTTTCTTAATCAAAGTATATCTCCATGTCCCACGTGTGTTTGTAGATACAAAGATTTTTGAACTGTAAACAGTGAGTGCTATGCATGTGCAAAATAGTCTGGTTTTTATTGCATCCCAAGATACAAACAGTGGAGGGGCATAGGATATAACAAAGTTACCACAAAGTAAATTTCCATTTCCAGAGTACATTTCTACCTGGTATGGGGCTGAAAATATTTGAATTCAAGCTTTTGTACTTAAATATTTTTTTGAATATAGACAATATTCACTACGTTATAAAATTATTGCTTTCAAATTCAAGGTACCATATATTTTTAATCTGAGTTTCAGGACATATTACAGTAAACAGATATGACTGTGTGTGACCTTGAATAAGTCATTTTGTTTTACTGTCTGTAATACGAGGATGGTATGTTCCTATACAACAGCATATTGTGATTGTCAGTTAGCGTTTGCAAAGCAGTTAGGCTTTGTTTGTTTATAGATTTTGTCTCTGTATAACTGTTGGTTGCAGTGTGATTTTATTTTTTTTTTTTAAACAGATATAGTTATACCAATGCATCTCCAAGTGTGGACTCAGTTATACTGGTATAGCCAGTTATTCCCCTTCCAATACAGGATTAGCTATGCTAGTGTAAAGTACCTTTGTACTGGGATAACTGTACCCACGCTGGGGGCATGGCTACACTGGAAACTTCAAAGTGCTGTCGTGGGAGCGCTCCCACGGCTGCGCTTTGAAGTGCGAGTGTGGTCGCACGCGAGCGCTGGGAGAGAGGTCTCCCAGCGCTCCTGGTGCTCCACCTCCACGAGGGAATTAGCTCCCAGCCCTCAGAGCCTATCTACACTAGCGCTTTAAAGTGCTCTGACTTGCTGCGCTCGGGGGTGATTTTTTCACACCCCAGAGCCAGCAAGTTAGAGCGCTATAAAATGTAAGTGTAGCCAAGCCCTAGGGATGTTATACACTTTATACTGGTATTGTTAAAGTGATGCTTCTGTGTCTAGACAAGGCATTAGAGGGTTCTTAGACGAAAGGTGCTAAAGAAGTGCAAAATACAATTATAATTATTGATTGTCATCTCAAACTAACAGCATGCATTTTGTTCTTTGTGGCTCTTTTTGCTTCATTGCAATGTGTAAAGCAGGCCTGAAAGACCTTTAAAGTATTTATTTTACCTTCAAAAAATATTTGCAATGTCAAGTCTCTTTCCTGGTTTTGTTGGAGGTCTTCCCTGGAGCATCCTGACATGTGGCGTGGTAGCTATCTCAGCCCTTAACTGAAGAGCCTGGGGTTGTCAAATCCTGGAGAGCTTTTTCTTCCAGGTATCTGTCAGGCATTTGGTGGACAGAGGTATTGCAGAGAAAAACCAGACCTTTCACTGGTCTCAATAATAACCGCTTCCCCTCTCGCTCGGGTTTCACTTCTTCAGTATAGTCCCTTGTTCATCCAAAGGACCTTCAAGGATGAACAGGGTTTAAATTTCTAATGCAAGTCCTTTTCTACTCTGGGAGGGTTTTGCTGGTATGGTCATTCCAGTATAGCTAATGCGGATGCAGTTATATAGGTATAAAAGTGCTTATCCTGGTACCTCTTATGCTGGTTTGGGGAGCTGGTATAAACCCAATGAAAATGTCAGTAGAAGATCAGTCCCTCCCTCCCCCCAACCGACATAGCTATGGTGATAAAACTTGTATGTGTAGACCAAGCCAAAGGGTATGTCTACACTTACATTTTATAGCGCTCTAACTTGCTGGCTCAGGGGTGTGAAAAATCACCCCCCTGAGCGCAGCAAGTCAGAGCACTTTAAAGCGCTAGTGTAGACAGGCTCCGAGGGCTGGGAGCTAATCCCCTCTTGGAGGTGGAGCACCAGGAGCGCTGGGAGAGCTCTCTCCCAGCACTCGCGCGCGACCACACTCGCACTTCAAAGCGCAGCCATGGGAGCGCTCCCGCAACAGCACTTTGAAGTTTCCGGTGTAGACATACCCAAAGAGAGGCTTTTGGTGCCAGAGCCTTAGCTGGTGTAAATGGTTGTAGGGTCATGGCGAGTTATACAAGCGGAGTCCCTGGCCCTGTGTGTGTGAGAGGGAGGATGAGAGACATTCACCCACCGCCCCTACCCCACCCCACCCCACCCCCTGCCGCCCATTTGCAGGTCACTTAAGTTTGAAAAGGTGCTTTGTTGCTTTGTGTTGGCTAATTATCATTGCTTTTTATTTTTGATTGGTTACCTTATTGTCAATGCAGTTCAGAGCAGGCTTTATCATTGCATTGGTTTCTTTTTGGAGTTCACAGTGAATATCCGTGGGAGTTAAGTGTCTCCTTTGGGAGATCACGGTTGGACGTTGTCAGTAAGATGTGCCGCCTGTATCCCTGTTTTATGCTGCTGATCTTGTTGGAACTTCCAGGTTGCCGTTGCCGGAGCCCCAGTCACGCTGTGGGTATTCTATGACACAGGCTACACAGAGCGTTACATGGGACACCCTGATCACAACGAGCAGGGATATTATCTAGGATCAGTGGCCGTGCAGGCGGAGAAGTTTCCTTCAGAGTAAGTTAAGTTCCCCCTCTCCCCGCCCCCGACCAGTGACCTTCAAACCTACACCCACATTTTTATCTCCTAGTTCTTGGTAATTAAATGCTGAAACCATAAATGCCAGTATTAAACCACCACTAAATAAACTCGAATGAACATTTGCCTAATTACGGCCCTTCCAAGTAATCCATTTTATACTGGCTGTAATTAAAGAATATCTCTTATGCATAAAGAAATGGCAGACATAACTTCAATTATGTAATTAGCTCTTCAGTCTGAGCTGCATTGAACTAGGCAAAAAGTTATATTTGATAAAAATGCTTTATCCTAGATGTAAGAGCATATCCATTTGTATGTGTTTAGAATGCAAAAATCTTACTAAAGAATTGGTGTCCAGTGGCGATTTGAGCACATATAAACCAATTTTAGCATCCTCTCTCATCAAGTGTTTCTGGGGAGGTTAAAGTAGATATGCAAATATAAGGCCCAGTCCTGATTTGTATATGCAAAAAACTCCCAGGGAAGGAAAGCCTGGCATTGGAAGCCTGTGGAATTCCTGCTGGAGAGCAGTCTGCAGGATTGGGCCATTTGTTTTGCTTAAACCAAAAGGAGTGTGTTTTTATGGTTAATATTTTTGTAAGGGACTCGCACAGTTTGCAGAATGACTGGAAAATTCCAGGAAGCATTCTAAATGTTTTTCTTTTGCATTTCTCAGACCACACCGTTTGTTGCTGTTGCATGGTTTCTTGGATGAGAATGTTCACTTTGCACACACAAGTATATTGCTGAGTTTTTTAGTGAGGGCTGGAAAACCATATGATTTACAGGTAAGTGGTTTCTAAACTGTGAGAACCTGGATATAAAATGATTCAGCTCTGCTTGAGTTTATGCTAGGGCTGAGGAAACCCAGACTGGAACACATGGAGTGTATTTGATCTGTTGTGGATCATAAACATCTAATGACAAGACTGGGGGATTAAGAGCCTGCTCTAAAAACTGAATGTTTTTTCCACTTCACTGCCCATCCTGACACTAATTTTGAGCTGAAAATATGTTAACATTTGGTTTAGCCATTTGGACTCATTTGTGTTTACACTCGCTTTGGATTTGGAAAAGGAAGGAAGTAGTTGTAGGTTTCTTCCCACCAAGTTCTGTTTTAAGGATAAATAAGAATATTGTAAAAGGGAAGCTTCTCCTTTGAGTGCTGGGATTTTGGGGTTTCAGTCCCTGTGCCAAGAAGAAAACATAGGCGTTCCCTAACCATGCTGCTCGACCTTTCAGCCTGCTGCCCTGCTCTTGGGGGAGGCAGTCCAAACACATACCCAACACCGACCTGCTTCTAGCTCTTTCCTCTCTCCCCATCGCCCTTCCATCAGAGAGACGGGGACAATTTTATTTGTTGTTTTTTACTGCAACAAAAAATGTTCAAGTCATATATTGATCCAGCGTTTTACTATAGAGACTAATGGTTTTTCCCTGCAAATGGGGTTCTCTAGATCCTGGGTTGTGTCTACCCTCCCTTTCTTTATTGCTGCTTGGGAGAGGGGTGCTGAATCTCTCTCTCCTTCCCCCTCCCCCTCTATTGTAACATGGAGGTCAGGCTGTGGAAAGGGCTGAGAACCCCTGCTCTATATCAAACATTCTTCTCTAATCTCTCACACAGCTACTTGCCTATCATTGACCTGTGTCAGGTAGCTGGTTTCAGTGCTGCTGTTAGCCAGTTGTGTGTGCATGTGTGTTCACTACTCTTTATTTTATATTTTAGATTTACCCTCAGGAGAGACACAGTATAAGGGTCCCTGAGTCTGGAGAGCATTATGAACTCCATCTGCTGCACTATCTGCAAGAGAATCTTGGCTCCCACATTGCTGCACTGAAGGCAATGTAATTGTGACCTCTGTGGAACTCTGATACACTGGCTGTTTAACCAAACGAGGAAATGGATCTGTAGAGAAAATAGAACAGAATATTGCATTTTGGTGCCTGCCACATATGCACGCGCGCACACACCCACACGCAGACATTTTTTTTTTTAAGTAAACTAGGTGCCATACAAGGAAACTACAGTACAATGGCCTAATAATTTAAAAATGGAAATAAAATCAAATGTCTGTGGCACGCAGCAGTACCATGCAAATTCTTTGGGGAAGAAGCTGAAAATTCGGTAACACATTTCCACAACACCATATCTTCACCATCTGAAAACATTGAGCTGTGCGAGTCTAATTGGTGTATTTTTTTTTTTACAGTGTGTTTCTCAGTTTCTTACAACAAGGTAATATTGGATGATTCACTCACGTCATGGCAAAAATCTGGCTGGATGGTTACAACTTTGATACCATTTTAAAATGTAATGTGTAATAGTTTGTTTTGTGCAAGGGATGTCCGGCTCATTAGGAATTAGTTGCATATTAGACACATTATATAACCAGATGTTGGGGATAATTATTTTTAAAAAGAAACACTTTTAGCTGCCCCCTGAAGAAGTTTATAATTTGGTTTTAACTAAGATCAGGCCAGTTTTTTCAGTGAGCTCATCTCTGTGTAGTACAAATCTTCTGCTTTTTTCTTTTGTAGTGTGATAAATAGCTTGTTCCTGATTTCACACAGGGAGGTGAAAAATGTATTTTACAGTAACATGGGCAGAAAAGTTAGCTTTGGGTATGCTGAGAAGCAAACTAGTTTTAAGCCAAACAGCTGAAACTTTATATATTTCTCATATTTTAACAATACAGCCTATTCTCATGGACTTTCACCCAATGTGCATTTTGGGGCTGTTTTCAGAATACTTTCCTATCTCAGCAGGTCGGTGTATAAATATTCCCCCACTAAGATTTTAAAATTCCAACATCCAAGTACAAGTGTCCACTGGGGAGTTGGTAAGATGGGGGCCTATCAACACTACATTGAAGCAATGCAAATTGTGTTTTATTAAATTTTTTTGTTGTCATTATTCTAGCATTATTCTCACATCAGTGCTGAGAAAGTATATTGTCCTAGTCACCCTGCTCCTGTATATATAGATAGATGCCATCACCCCTTGAGTCATCTCTAGCACTGCAGTGTAGCCTGGTCATATGCTGTCCGCCGAGAGAAACCCTTGTCCATGTTGCGTAAGGTAATGCTGCTGGAAGCTAGCACCCTGCAGTATAAAATCACATTAAAGCACGATTTTCTTTGCTAGTGTGGTTTTGGACATGGCTGAAAAACGTGAAGTGTTTGAAAACACTTTTAAATTTCAAAATGTTGTTTAAACTAGAACTCCATAGTCAAATTATTAGTTTTAAACCAGACACCTCTGCCTGTGGTTTCTGTGTTAACTTCCCATAATTTTTAGGTGCTTTCTTTTAAAAAGCCAAGAACTTTTTCCCCTTCTATTTTGATGCTACGGAGAGAGAAGCAGAGCAAGATTCTCTTTTCATCGTTTGAAAATTGGATGCCCTGTGGCTTGTGTTCCTACTTGAGATACCCAAATTTTGTCGCAGTGTGCTTTAATAACTTTTTTAGGTGAATGAATGATCAGCAGACCCTAGAATTCTAACATTTAAAGCAATAGGCCCTGACCTTGATATTTGTGACACTGGTATTAACTGGGAATAACTCCACTGGGATCACCTGGATATCAGAGCTGTGTAAGAGTCAGCAGAATCAGGTCCACTGGCTTATGCTAAAGGTAGTCAAAGCAAACACACTTCCTGTAAGCATGTACCGTTTTTTTCCAGATCTCTCTCAATTATTTTGAATTGAACTGATGGTATTTTAAGTCCTGTAATTTACACCATCAGCATATGGAAATAGGTTTATGGGTTTTTATTTTGGGGCACTGGGGGAATGTAAGGAACCCAATATCTACACTGTCTTCGCTGTACCAACAATAGCTAATTATTGTAACTGAAGTGAATTCCATTCAGAAAAAGCCGGCATTTTCAGCCATCCTATGGCATGTGCTGTAGTTAGTATTTACAGACAAGCTGGTACATTGATAAGCTTGAAGAATAACAATGCGCCAGTTAGTATAAAAACTATAAATTTGTTACTATGGTATTCCACCTGGTTCTTTATGTATTTATGCTGTAGTATATATACATATATCTATGGGTATGTCTGCACAGCAAAAGAAAACACAGGGCAGCAAGTCTAACAGCCCAGGTGAACTGACTCAGGCTTGCACTGCAGGCTAAAAATAGCAGTGCGGACATTCAGGCTTTGGACTCAGACTTGCACCGCAGGTTCTTTTGTTACTGTGTAGACATACCCTGTATCTGTCCATAGATACCTATATGTATAAAATAACACACGGATGGTATCACGTTTTGCAAGGTTGTTTATATTTTGTTCAATGTTAAATTAACTGGTGTTTGGGAGTGTATTTTTGTTCTTCCTCCAGAGATTATCTCTTGAATATAAATGTATATGATTCTGAAGTAAAAATTGATTCTTTTGTACAAAATGGCCTCTATGGAACAGTGCTTACAGCAAAGAAGGAATTAAATGGGATTCTGGTAATCAAGTCTAGATTTTGGTTTAGCACTGAACATGATAAAATTGCTTACATGTAACTTTTTAATAATGCATTCTCTCTTTATTTTAAATATATCAGAAAACTATTAAAGTAGCAAGTATGTACTCTATTTATTTTGCAACATAAATTATGGTTTTCTTTGCTACAAAAATAATTTCCTTTACAGCTATCAGGCACTTTAAAACTCCATGTTTTCTTTCCTTGTGAAAATGCTGGAAGGATTTACTATCAGTATTTCATAGTTCTGTACGAAGGATGCTTGCCACATGTAACGGTAATGAAAGGCATATCCCATAGGGGGTCTGATCCAGCTCCCATTGAAGTTAATGACCAAACTCCTGTTGTTTTCAAAGGGGCACAATCAAGTCCATAGGGAATGAGCACTGCCTTGTGAAATACCAAATGTGAGTCCATCAGTAACTCTTAAAACTGGAGATGCTGCTCACTAGATAAGGATATTATATCCTGATTGGTCTTGGTGGGACAAGCCACATCTAAGATCAGCAATTCTGCATCTGTTGCCAGCTGTAAGTTAGTCTTCCTATGCTACAGTCCAGAGTCCACAGTCCAGAGTACTGTGTATGATGGTAGTGTTGCTGCAGCATTTTGGATCCTTGGAATTGCCTAAATCCAAGTCCAGAAATCTCTGGATTAGGGAGATGGCACTTTCACCCAAGAAGAATTGCCCATGATGTTTTACATTTGGATTTATTTTAAATTGTTTTTGTTTGTGGACTTACTTTAAAAATGGCCAAGTGGTAATGCTACTTTAAATTTTAAGCAGGGCTAGTGAGCTCCCTAGGTAGAAAGTCCAAGAACAGAATATTCCATGGAGGAGAGATCACCACCTTGCCCCACAAAATAAATCCCTAGCTGGGGATGTCTACACAGGGATAAAAAAACCGCCCGGCTGGCCCAGGTCAGCTGACTCGGGCTCATGGGGCTTGGGCTCCGTGGCTGAAAAATTGCTGTGTAGATGTCGAGCGTCCCAGCGTTTGATCTCCAGCCTGAGCCCAAACGTCTACAGAGATTTTTAGAACTGTGAGCCTGAGCCAAATGAGCCCACTGTTTTTGTTTTTTATCCCTGTTTAGACATATCTCTTGAGTTCAGCGGGGTTACTCTCAGCAATAACCACTACACCTTGTGGTACATGATAGCAAGATTGGGCCTGAAGTGTTGAGTGTAAATCTCTTTTCTATGGTAGCAGGTATCTTTGCATCTTACCACCCAATCCTGTGACCACTAAAATTCCACATTTAACTTTTGCTGAAAAATGATAGAGCATTTATTAAAGGCTGGGTTTCGAAAACTGAGGGACTAGTGGTGTTGAATAGGGATGCCAGTGTACATATCTTTTGTCTGTTTTCATTGTTTGGAATTGTGTTTGGTTTGCCTCAGTGGGGACAGATTCTATGGTATAATGTTTTGAAGTGCTTTCCATTACTTAAGCCAGGAAATCTTCCTTTTAATAAAGAATAGGGGGAAGGCAGGGAACATTTTAGATTGGGGCAAGTAGTCTGCATTTTTTTCCACATTTCCAAGTATATAATTTGTATTAATATATATCTTACTCATTACCTAGAATTACTTCATTTTTATAAACTCAGTTTACTACCCAATATTAATTAATGAAACAATTAATTCTGATCAGGATGTGAAGCTTTGAAAATAAAGTACCTTAATTATAGTAAAATGGAAAACGTATTCCCTGCTAATAGGGGTATTTGGGATTAGTGTTAGCAAAGACTTTCCGGATGGGCTTGACACGTTGAAGGTTTAACTCTTTAGAGCTGTGTATGAGTGTTGTGTTGCATTTAGCAAAGAATCCAGCTGTGACATTAACTGACAAAATAGGGTCCTGAGACTTAACCTGTCAAAGTAAAATAATTGATTGTGTTTCTTGCTGATCTGTGTGTTCCCTGTGGAGAGCAATATGTTTTGCTGCTAGCATGACACTGAATATTGAGAGGGCAATAACAAGGTGGGGGAAAATCAGACAGATTAGAACACTGCCTTGAATTGCCTATTTACTTGAGTTACCAGACCCCTGTCAATACAAGTACTGTATCCTCCGGGGTGCTTTGGGCTGCCCTTATGAAAGGACAGGTCTTTTTGTGGTTTTTACTTTGATGTTCTGCACAGTAGAAGTTCAGGTGTTTAATTTTAGAACATGAAGTGCCTGCTGTTTAAGCGTTGACTTGTATTAACAAAATTGCATGTCTCACGCCAGTAGGTTTATGGGTTTCCCTCCATTTCTAGTTACATGGCTTTTAATCATGTAAAGTGGAAACATTAGTTTTGCCGCGTTTTATTACAAATCCTTTTTGTTGCAATAAAGATGCTGCTAAATAAATTGAACTAAATGTTTTTCTATTTTTAACTGTCTTTTCTTGACTTAGTGGAGTTTATTTAAGAGTATAATTAAGTCCCCACACTCCGATTCCACCCGGGAGAGTGGCAGTGATGTAAACTGTGTGAGCGTGTTAAATACGAGTGATTTTCTTTCCTTCGTCTGTGACTAGGTAAATCAATGTAAATAGGAGGATTGGCACGGGCTTGGATTAACTACAAAGCGTTTTCTGTTGGAACAAAAAGGGAATGAATTCAGCTGTCCTGTGCCGATGGATTCTGTGCCGTTAACAGCCCTTGCTAGCCACCAGCTGGTGCTGCAGCACAGGGTAAGGTGCCTCATTAGTCATGTTAAACACAATGGGCCGGATCCACAGCTGTTGTCAACTGGCGCAGTTCCATTGCCTCAGTGGTACGATGCTGATTTACATCAGCTCAGGATCTGGCCCAATGTGGGCATTGAAGGCCAACAGAAAGACATGCTGGAGCCTGATTCTGGTCTTGCAGGCATAACTGTATGTGACTGCATCCTGCAGAATCTGATCTACAGGCGTGACAGCCAGTGATTGTAATTTGCGTGCCTAGTACACTAAGCGCCTGCATATCTGGGGTTTGAATTTGGGGACAGATCTTGTAGGGCATAGAAGGAGCAATAGGAAAAGACATGCTACACTTTGCAAGTGCATGACTTGAGGGGACGCCTCGCTTCTGTTCTTGCACTGAACTATGCTTGGGCGTAGCCAAAATAGTTCAAGCTTCTCTGAGGTCTTCCCTTGATGTCTGGGGATTTTGGTAGATTCTTATTAAGGTTAAAGAGTGAAAGGTGTAATTACCAGTGCAGCAAGAGGAGAACATTCCCTTCCTTAGGAAAGGCCTCCCCGCCCTTTAGCATTTCGGAGGCTAAGCCAACCAAAAATGTGATGTCCCACAGAACCTCCTATAGCATTTGTGGGCTGCCTGGTCTCTGGGGTTAACCTTTCCCCTGGCCACTGCACAGTGGCTGTGTATATCTGTAGGGGAAGGGAAGGACATGCATTGACGAAGCTTGGAACCCTCCCCAACATGTCAATACTGTCACTGGCTGGGGATCAGAGAGAAAGGAGCAAATATAGGCCCTCTTCAGAACTCCTTTCAACACTCGAAAACCTGGAAACAACTGTGCAGAGTCTTTCAGTGTTCTGGATGGTCAGGGGAGGTCTACTTGCTCCAATCTCTCAGGCTTGGGTGAGGGGCACTAGGACACCTGAGCCAATGACCCCTCCCCACATTTCTGCTTTACGGCTCTGTAGGGAAGGGAGCCCTGCACCCGAAGTAGTGCAGCACCTACGGTTTTAAACATTTTCTGTGGGTTCCCCTGCCCTCTTAAAGAATTCCACAAAAATGGATTGAGGGGCAGGGGGAGCGTAGTCTCTGAATACAGACACTGGTTTTATTTACCCCTTCATTCCAGAATTCTTTTACCCACATTACAAAAAAGAAAAAAAGGCCTTTTACGGAGGTGGATTTTAGGAATTAAGGGGTTAATTAATGAGTGCTTCTGTGTCACCCTGTAAAAAAGCGTCACACTTCTCATTGTAATGGTCACTTTGTTCCCTTGTTTGTACAGCCTACAGCATAATAGGGCCCTGATCCCGGCCCACAGATGCTACTGCAATATAGCTAACAAGAATTGTAACGGGGGTACCCAGCTCTTAGAAGCCTGTAGCTTGCGGCACCAGCTAATATATTAGCTGCTGCTTTAAAGCTGAGCTGTTTAGATTTTTTTTGAATTGCTGTGCTCTGGGAGAAGGTGGCTTCACCAAGTGCTGCTAATTGTAGACTGTTATAGCAAAAAAAAAAAAAAATGGAGAATACCTTTTTATGAGAGTATTTATGGCCTCGTTACATGTTTAGTCATTCAGAACTGGGCAGCTGCAAAGATATATACTCTGTGTTTACAGCTGGCTAGCAAACCGCTATTGAATAACCAGACTGAGTTCTCAGCCCAACCTCTTCCATGCCACAATTTAACATGAGGATAGTATTTTCCTATCAGTGCTGCAGTAGAAACTACAGTAGCAGTTAATCAGGTGTTTAGCCAAATGCTGTCACTGTAAACTCACCTTCCACTTGTCTGGTTCTGCTGATTTATAAAATGTTCCTTCTGCGGGAGAGCCATCCTCCGCTAATTTGGGGGATTCAGAGCAGCGCCTGACACCATATTGCCTGGAACAACAATCTCTTCACTTGTGTACTCGAGCTTGCTTTTGCTTTCACTCTCACCTGTACTGTGCTTTAAAAGTATCTAAGTTTCGATTCTTTGGCTGAACAAGCTTTCCCCCAACCGCCACGCCATGAAGAAATCTGCAATCTCTCTGGAACATCTGGCAGAGTTCATAGGTAATGTCCTCTTGATTTTTCAACTGGAACAGGAACAGGCTTGAAGTTATATGGTCCTTATTTGCTGATAGATGATTGTGGAGTTTTCAGCAGGGGGAATTAGCCGTGCCCAAGTGCCTAGTTTCTGAATTACACTAGCATTCTGATGCCAATGCTTATCATAGACCAGAAGCTCTTAACAGGCTGGTATACTGTTCACTTTTTCTGTCTTAGGCAGCATAATTGTGGTCTTGCTGGAATTCAGTCTGAGCTCTGATACGTGATGCTGCATGATCTCCTTTAGAGTATGGAAAAGGCCTGGGCATTCTCAGCATTGCCATGATATCACAGGGCAGCCATCCCCCAACCTACGATTTGTAGAACAGTCAGATTCCTCCCTCCCCCAGCAACCAGTTTCCTGGTTTGGTTTTGGCTCCATTTATAGGAAAAATGAAAAAAATAACCCTATCCCATCTTCTCTCCCCACTCCCCACAAGGACACGACGTTTTTGTGCACTCTGTAATTACTTTTGGACCACATCCTTTCTCCCTTTTGTAAACTACTTGAATGTGACTGGGGTCAAAGTACCAGTAATTACCAAAAAAGTAAATAAAGACACAATCTGTTTCTCCTTTAATGAAACAAACTAGACTGAATTCTATAGAAGATGCTGGCTGTATTCCGTTGTGTGAGAGCATAGACAGGTTTTTAGTTTGGTGCACAGAAGTCTTACTTACAAACTCACATATCCAATGTGTGCAAATATGAGGGGTTTGTGTACGTACGCACCCACTTATGTGCCTAACTGGCCAAGCACCTTGAATGGGCAGATCATGTCTTGCTCATTTAAATTAGGTGTGCATAAACATACGCATGCATGACTCTGTGCACAATTTAAAAAATGTAGCACATATGTAATTGGGTGAGTGCCTTACTATGCATCCTATAATAGATAAAGCGGCACCATGGTCTGCTGGCTAGGGCCCTGAGCTAGGAGTCAGGAGACCTGGATTCTTTTTCCAAGTCAGTCACATCACCTTTCTGTGCCTCAGTTTCCCCCTGTGCCTGTTTTGTCTATTTAGACTGTAAGCTCTGCAGGGCAGGGGCAGTGTCTCTGTTTGTCAGTGCTTAGCAAGGTGGGACCTGATCTTGGCGGGGGCCTCTAGGCACTCCTGGAATTATAAATAATAAACACAAGTTGCAGTTGCAGAGCCATTTACATATTTACAAACTGCTCCCTTCGAGAACACTTCTAAGTGTCCGCCTACGGAAACCCAAGTTAACCCTGGCTGTACAGAGTGAGTATTGCAGCATGTGGAGAATTTATTAGAAACATGCTGGCAGATACAGCGTGGTATTCTCTCAATGTGCTGCTTAGCTGCAGTTTGGGAATGATGAATTACCAGGCTGCCATGCTTCTGAAGCATGCTAACAAATGAGCATTTATGCAATCCCTCTAATTGTAAACAACTTTTGAAAACAACTTGTGGTCTTTCAAGTAACCATTTATCAAAGCATTTGCAAAGTAAAGAGGGGAAACCATTCCATGAGCTATGAGGCAGTTAGGATCTAATTTTTAAAGCGACGGTTGATATCTTATGTCTTTGCTCCCCAGTCTAGGCTTTAAATCAGGTAAAGCAATTGAAGGAGTCTGCTATTGAATATTATCCTGACTTGGAGGGAATTCTTTTCCCTTTAAGGTGGGTAGGGCAAATCTGCTCTTGGTTACACACGTGGGGAGTATGGTGGGCAGGTAGCTGAGGGCTTATCTGGCCCATGATGTCCCCCGCCACCTCCCCAGGTTACAAGGAGAAGGAAGCTGATCAGTTTGTGGAGCAGTGAAAGATACAAACTGGAAGCCTCCTGCCTCTGGTGAGGAAGAGCGAGCGAGGCTGAGTAGTAAAATTGGTGGGAAAGCTCCTAAGCAGCAGCAAGACGGGGGTGAACCAATGCTCTGCCTTTCTTCAAGCTTCTGGAAACCCCTTCTCTCCAACCCCACATGGTGTGGAGTCTGGCAGGGGCTGGGGAGTTGTTCTAGGCAGCTTCCTTCCTGAAAGAGGCCGATATTGTTGCCTTCCGTGTGCTCCTGTCGAGTAATTCTGCGCCCCCGCAGAGAACGTCAGTGAAGTCTGCACACTGGTGGCACTCAGAGGCCTCAGTCGGGATTGGTGACCCAGCTCTGTGCAGTACAGACGTACAGGAAGACCTACTCCCCACCTCGGAACTTAACGATCTAGTTGTAAGGTAAGATGCAACAAGGCAGCGTATGGCACTGCAGGAGAAAACGGGGAAGGGGCAGTGCAACGGAAAAGGCACCAAGGTCATGTGGTTCCATAGGCGAGATGCTTTATCCGGATCCTTATACCCCACTTATCACCATGGTATCTGAGCGCCAGAATGGAATAGCTCTGTGAGTCATCGCACAAAGCTGGTAGTTGAAGATGTGCGAGCCAATGAGATCTCCTGAGGAGAAGGGACGAGGCTGGAGCACTGGGGGACCCACAGAGAGTGGAAGAGTAAGAAGACGACGCTGAGTGCACCATCAGAACAAGGAGGACAACCAAGAGAAGACGGTACCAAAAGCCAAGGAAAAGTGACATTTCAAGGAGGAGGGAGTGTTTGACAGTATGAGAGCAACAGAGTGACCAAGCATGGTGCG